ATGGTAATATATGCATATTTATATATATATATAATATAATTATAATTAATATATACATATATATATATATATATATATTACCTGGCACACACTTAAATACGGTTTATTTAAAAACTTGTAATAAATACAAAATCACAAATGAACACGTTGTCTTTGTTGTAATTTAATACCAATAGATGATGTGTAGAAATCCACTTAATAGTTCGTAATTGCACGATAATTGTTATTTGATCATTATTCTTGCACAGTCTATATTATGTGTAGTTATATGATATATTATTAATCATAATAACATGATCGGTGGCATTGTTGTACAATCACACGTGGATATAAGAAGCCTTTATCAACTATTCAAATGTCACAGCTGCCATATGATATCATTTTTTTTCTTCTGCAGAGTTTGGAAGCTCCAACAAGTATAAGAACTGCTAATGGCAATTACTTAGAATAATAAATTATTTATCAGTATAAATGGAGAAACAATCAAGAATCTCTAATACATGAGTCGACCAATTATGTTAATCATTATGTATAAACATACGAGCTGTATGATATTGATATTACTAGGCAGGCATCGCGTATCGAAGTGATACATCTCAAAGCGCATGAACTTTTGCATGGCACGAATTCATCTAGCAACCATTACTGCTAGGATTGCCTTTTGGTAAAGGGCGCACCAAATATAATTTTTCGCCTTGTTTGTTGGTATAAATTGGTGCTCGTTGATAATGATCTACCAACTGATCTAATGTATGGAACTTTCTCTGGCCAATGCAGTACAGTGCTCCTTCTACATGTACCCTAAAATGCTTATTGCGCCCTGGAGCTTTTAAGGAAACAGAATAATCTCCCATCTAAAATATAAATAAAAAGAAATTATTTTCAACACCTTTTTTTTTTGTATTTATTCTTATGATTAATAGAAGAAATATAATGATGAAAATTATTTACATTAGTTTCACTATCTCTGATTAAAAAGTCGCCATCGTGACCATGTTGATTGAGCAAAGTATCACACTGTGATCTTGTAATATTGCCATAATACCAAGGTTTTCCAACAAGATGCGGTCTATCGCCTGGATCTGGTCTTCGTTCAAGAGAATCATTTGCACTAATTTCATTACTCGTTACGCCACGATCGCGATATGGTTGTGTTAGATATTCGCTGAGTTCCTGAAGGTAATTACGTGGTACTAGGCCAATTTGTCCTTGACTATTTCTTGCTTTGTACCATTCAGGATCTGCTGGAGGACGATCAAGAATCTCCAAGCGATCACCTTTTTCAAAAGATAGCTCCTGATCATTATTTGAAGAAAATGAATATAATGCAACTACAATATCAAGAACATTTTCTGCCATAGCATATGTATGAAGAGTATCATCGGCATCGCCTTCTTCTTGAGTATAATTTGATGGGAACCAACCAGCCTGAGTACCACTTTGACCTCTCCACCAACCATCATTGCTTTTCTCAAGTATTAGGATTCTGGTGCCTTTGACAAGTGATAATTCGTCTGCTTGCTGAGCTTGATAGTTATATTTAACGACAGCAGTACCTATTGCTTCACTTGGATCAGCTGGTAAACGTCTAGCCATAATAGGTGATTCTACAGCACGGGAAGGTGAATTACTAGATGGTAATGTTTTAGAGCCAGAACCCTTTTTAACTTTCTTTTTAATACTGTCAAAAAGAGATGGTTTTTCTTTTTTAACATAATTGCTTGGCACGTAACCAGCTTGTCCTCTAGCACTTTGTACTCTCCACCAGTGCTTGGAATCATCGAGCAATAAATAGCGCTCGTTTTTACGTAGATCCAATTCTTGAGCTCCCTGTGCTCCATAGTCGTACTTGGCGACAACGTAACACACGTCGTCCTGACTTGTTTTGCCTAAAATGTGTTATAGAAATTATTTTAACGTAAGCTTACTAAATAGGGATATAATCTAAATTAGCCAAATCAAATTTGTTTTTACAAAATGTACAAAACATTACTAGAGCTTACTTAGGATAATGTAATCAAATTAAAAGCATTTACATTAATTACTAATAAATTTAATTTTTACCACAAAATAATAAACTAGAATCATACATACCGATAAAGAAAATTATTGCTGATATAATTCACGTGTAAGTTAAACATTATAATCAAAATAATATAAAAATTTTATTTAAATATATTTACATAAAATGTATTTTGGAAAATATAGTAATTTGTACTAATATAAAGCAATAAAAAATAAATGTACAGATAAAGCAACGCATACAAGAATAAAAACGTACCATGCTTCATGGCTGCCATGTGCGAAAAGGGGGGGGATTTATATATAAGAGTGTGTATGTGTGTATTAAACTGTGCTACGAGTAGTTACTACAGATGTACTACTCTGATTGTTTGTAATTCTGCTTGTACAATGTTGGTGACGTATGTGCAGCAGGCATTCATTCCTCAGCTTTTTTGTTTATTGATGGTAAACTTGACGATCTCTTTGTTCAGACTCCATCGTTCTTGCAGGTAGGACAAGCAAGCGCATTACCACACTTTGAAGGAAATAAAACAACAATTATTATCTTGAAATTACAAATAAGAAATTACAAAAATGATAATTCTTTTTTATTGAAAATATTATAGCTTTCATTTAGAAATACAATTTATATATAATACACACGTTTTCTTCATTAAATATATCTATATATATATAAGTATTTTTGTTTTTCATTATAAAGCATGCACCTATACCAATGAATTTCACCTTAGATATATATATATATATATGTGTACAGGATGTCGTATAACTAGTCGTACAATCGAGCAGATAAATCTACATGAAAAATTAAGTCGAAAATGTAAAATACAATTTTTACACATAAGATTTTGTTTTCGAACAAAATAAGTTTAAACATTTGTCAAGTGCATATGCACTTGATTCAGTTTCAGCTCAAGAAATTTCACTATCTTCATTTCGGATATTTAGAAGAGCATTTTTGTGCTTCTTAATATGTTTACAAATATTGTCAATATGATGATATCTCTTATATCAGTTCTATTTTCATGTTTATCAAACAAGACTTTTAATTTTCAAGATTGCAAGTTCAATTAAGTGCATGCGTATTTGATCAATTTTTTTATTTATTTTTTTCAAAAACAAATCCTTATATCAACAAATTTTATTCTACATTTTCGACTTAGTTTTTCATATAGAGTTATATCCTACTCGCTGATATCGTCAGTTACAGTACACCCTATATATGTATTATTAGGTCATTAAGATGAAACGTCCGATTACTCCGATTACTTCTAGTTCGAAATTGAACGTTTCATACATAATTACCTAATACAGAAATTTACAATATTTTGTAACAATATCAGTTAAGATAAAAATAATATTTGAGATGTTTTATTGTATGTACGCATAGGTATGTTCTTATAATTTCTCAAGTATATATTTTAGCTTAAATAAATCAAATTTACTCTAAAGATAAAAGATTTATAACGTGCATAGACAAGGCAATATTGTACAACTAAAATTTCTAAAAATAAAATCAATATGTTGATATAATAAGCACATTCCTGAATTGGTAACAAAAAATAAATAATTCATAATAAAAATAATAAAAAAAACCGTCGATTGTAGTAAAAATTCTATATAATGTTTATTATAATAAATCCGATTATCCGATTTAAGTATATAAACCTAAATTTGATAACAAAGTATTAACTGTTATATCATAAAATACATACTAAGCACTTAGATAGAATTGAATTTACACAAATTAAAGGTTTGAAAATATACATAGTACATAGAAAACTGTAGAACATGTAATATATAATATTTAAATCGTTTATTTATTAATGGTGATATACATTATAATAAAAATCCAAAATATAATTTTAAAAAAATTAAAGAAATAGGAAAAATAAATATATATGAAATATTTTNNNATATATATATATATATATATATATATATGTATAAAACCATAATTTTTATAAATAATAAATTACGCAAGGATTTAGCAATATATAAAATAATATTAGGACGCGTAAAATAGTTGGTGAAAAATCGTTAAATGACTGTATTTTTTTTCGTGCGATTTTATCGACTTACCGATTTTTAAACTTGACATATTCTTGTATACAGCTCTTAAAATCGACGTTTGTTACACGGATTGTTTTCCCCCACTCCGGTCCACAGCCATGAACAAGAACGAAATACAGCGTATGTAGGATTAAACTTTGGGGAATGAGAGAAAAAGGAAGGGAGAGAGGGGTCGTCGGATAGGAAGACGAGGGTACCAAGGAATCAGGGAATGATTCCGACGACCGTACAAAACTCCATCCACTGAACGATGTTGATCGTTTCTGTTTTTCTACTAACACTGCACCGCATAGAAGGGCAACGACTTTTTCCGTTAAACCATAAAACTTCCTTCTGCGGCTAAAACCTTATACCTTAACGGCGGTAGACACAAATATCTAATGCTCTACCGATTCCTTCGCTTCAATTAGTTTATGCGGCCCCTCCCGCAAAAAAGGACAGACCCACCCTCTGTACAGAAACACCAAATCTATGTACGAATAGTCGAGATTACTAACTCTTAGTACTCTATTGACAAACGTGATAACAGTGCCGCATAGTGGTAACTGTTTGTACTACTACATTCTATTATATATACATAGAGGATAACCAGATTGCATCAAGTTAATTAGTTATGATTGGACAAATCCTCTTCGTGATTAAAAATATTTAACCAATAGCGTCGGTTTATTTTAAGGAACTATTTTTAAGATTCCAAAATATACCTTTAATATTTTATATTCTTTTCCAAGAAATGGATATTTTTATATATTGTTTCCAGAAATGATTATAAATATTTCTTTAATTTTTATATCCATGGAGATATAGCGCTTCGTTTTTATATCTATAAAGAAGTTTATTAAATATAAAATAAAAAGAGTTTGAATCGGATACTCATGTTGGCGCTAATTTCATTCAGTAACATGATTCGTTGATATAAATGCGCATATTTTTCGATTATGTGATTAAGTCGTGCGCAATTGACGCAGTTGTTTGTAGGAATCTGTGAATAGCACGTGTGTTGTGTGTCGTGAACTATTTTAAATATAAATCAATTTAACATGCCACAAGGCAAATTAAAAGTTAAAACTAAACTCCCGCCAGCAGTTAAGACTAAAACAAACAAACAAAAAAAGGGACCTGCAATACAACGTCGTGGAAGTAAGTTTTTAATTTGTATTTTTACGTTGTATTCGAACAATTGTTATTCATTTTGCTATATTTGACTATTTAGTAATGTCAGTTTAAAAAAATAAAACATAGTACATAGTTTAGAATCTTTTTTTTTCTTTCAAGATGCACCTATTCAACCTAAAAACGCAAAAGTTAAAGAAGCACAAAAATTAAAAAAGATAATTTCGAAGACTGTGAATAATGCTATAGAAGATGAACTTAGAGAAAAGGCTTTGGAAGGAAAAAAATCTCTCCGAGCAAAGGATAAAAAAATGAAACCAAAGACCTAATCGTTACTTATATAGTATGTACATTTAATGTAATTTATTATCTAAACCTTAATTGCAAATTTATTTGATGCAAATAATGAATTGATTTAATATTTTATTATCATGCTTTAAGTTGAGGTTCGATAAAAAAATTTGTGTATGTACAAAAATAGATTAATATAATTTAAAACTCTTATTATAATAATAGATTGATAAAAATAACAATGTAATATTAATAAATACCTATATTTTGAACAGTAATTTAAAAATATAATTTTCATTTTTATTAATTATATATATATTAATTATATAAATATAATTAATATCTTTAACAGAAGCGTTAAACCACCAATGAATTTTGTAATTCAAAACTTGTAAGTTTTGTCAAAAGTAGATTTGAATAATAGATCCTTATATGAGCCACTCATTTGCCAAATCGATTAACACAATAAACTGTAGAGAAAATTGATAAAGTAATATACATTGTTTTCATATCATTTATTATTGAACGATTATAAAAATTATTTTCAATTAATGGTGTTAAATTTAATTATTAAGGAAATTAATTTTAAATATAAAAAGTTAAGTATTAATGAAAGAGAAATGCTTTTATAATAAAATTTGAAAAAATTCATAAACTGGAATTAATCGATTTGGCCTATGAACGGCTGATCTAAGCAAACTGTCATAGAAGGAAATTATGTTTTTGAATAATATTTAAAAATACATATAAAATAATTAAGTTTTTTGTTGAGAAAAAAATAATGAATTTCTTTCTGGTCTTCTTACATATAGTATTATATATTTCATTTTACTTTTTTTAATTCAAATATTATTGAGAAACAACCTGTAACAAATAAATATAATATAGATTATATAAATAATTCATTATACTTTTTTCATATACATATATATATATTATATAAAATATGATTTACCACCAAGAGATGACCACTTTGTCGGTTTTTACTTATCGCTGACTCATTTCCCATCTTGAATTCAATAACGCCTTCCTTACCATTTATTAACTTATGAAAAGTTCTAAAAATAATTTTAAAAATATTGCTTTTTTGTTTTGTAATACGCATACATAGAAAAATATGCATATATTTATTTTATTATACTTACGTATCTGTATTAATTATTTTCAAAATCTTCTGCTTGTTTGTAATATAAATTAATTTCGTAACTGCCTCTATTATAAATGGTACTTCTAATATTAGGTCACCCTATAATAAATGTGTCAAAATTTATTAATAATGTTCACATTTCGTAATAAATATACTTCTACTTCTTAAAATATTATAATTAGCATTTAAAATTAAATTGTTTTTATGTAATAATATAACATACCTTGTCTTTCTTAAGATCTGGGGATATTCGCAAAATCAAGAGATTATCCGATTCCCTGGTAACAACGACTTCATCTATATGATCATAAGATAACCGATGCTTTAATTTTAATGTTTTTTTCATTTCTAATATATATACTGCTTGTTTAGTTAACAGTAGAATTCTATCTCGAGTTTTGTAACCATGTCGATCGTATTTGGTTACTGGGGCTGCATACTTAAATAAAAATATATTTATTATTAATTGAATGTTATTTAATAAAAAAAAGTATTAATATTTATATTACTTCATACCTCAATTCTTTCATTAATTGATATGATCGAATTAGCAAGGCTCTTTATTAATGTTTTCTGCTCATCATTAAGCCGGTTATATCTAAATCTTGGACCAAAACTTTTTTCATATGACTTTTTTTTATCCTTGAATAGAGTTTCAGCCAGAATCTTTAATTCAAATTGTGTTTTTTCTTTGGGTGTTAAGGCTAATCTATAGTTTCGTGCTTTCCACCTTTTATGTATTAATCTTAGATGTTCTGAAGCCTAATTTATAATTAATAAATTATATAGTGCTAATATTATTACTTGTTTGTGTTTTCATAAAAAATACTTACTTGTTTGCAAGAATAAGGACATGGTGGCCATTGATTGTTTAGAAGACCGCCAGGAAGATTTTTGGAAAGCCTAATAAGCCACTGTGATTTTGCCAATTCTATAAAAATCATATTTTCTGGAGTTGGTGGACCAGTTCTTGTAAGATATCCTTTAACAAATCTATATTCAAATGATATAATTTAATATTTATAATAGATATATATATTCTTAATATAACTCAGTTTTTATCATTTTTTGTTAATTACCTGCATATAGTCTTTATAGCTTGACGTCTTTTTTTTGCTTCACGTTTTGCAAGCCATCTACGAATATATTTCTGTAATACTATTGCAGCTTCTCTTGTTTTTAAATATTGTCGTCTTGTAAGTATACACTTCCATTTTCTTTGAATGATTGTAGCAATATCATGCTTTTTTATTTGAAATGCATCTTCTGTTTCAAATAATGTCTTGGGGAATCTTATAAACAACTTTGTACTAAAATGTGAAAAATAATGAAATTTGCACATAAAAATATAATACGTTAAATCAAAGTGATATATATGATTTTTCTTACTTGCCCATTCTATATTCATCAGCTTCATATCCAAGATAACAGATGAGCGTTTGTACTCCATCTTTGGCTGAACCTTGGTAATGCGGCCAAGTCTCTGGGCAAAGAGACTTATAACGATTCAAAAATTGTGCATATAATTTTCTATAAGCAAAACCAGCACGTCTTACTCGTAAATTTTCCATTAAACCGAGATATTTAACTTGATGTAATACAATCTTATCATCGAAACGACCTATCAAAAGAAACAAATATAATTATAAAGGACATATCTATATTTATACATATACGTACACACATTCCTGTTATTATTATTATTATACATACTAGACATTTTGAAATCATTAGGTTTGATGCATCTGATATAAGACGGCTCTTTCCCTATTAATATTTCCATAAGATTATTTAAACTATTCTTAAATTGAGTTATAGCAGTTTCTGGGCGCTTCCTACTAGTTAAATCTTTCAGATTAAATGTAGTCTAAAAAATAGATAATTATTTTATACTGTATTGAAATAGATATTTTCGTTTTCTGGAATATATTACAATATATTTGGAATATATACAAACCTTTGTAATTATATTTTTTGTACGAGACATTACTTCCCGTAAATTTCGAAATAATAAATCATTATTTTTTTCAAGAAATCCACGTACATTATATGTAACTTCTCCAGCATAATGTATTAAACGAAATTCCTATAAAAATAATAAAAGATTTTGAATAATTATATTACCTAAAAAAAAATAAACAATTATTCAATTAAAATCTTCATACATCTCGACCCATTATCTTCTGTGTCTTAATGTCTGCTTTTATGTGACTAATGTAATGTGGATGGTTATGTAAATTTTTGTTCAATTTCTCAAGAAAACTTATATCTGTTGGATCGCCAGGACGTAAACATTCTTCATCCATGAAAGCTATTATTCCTGAAATCATGTCAATAATGGAATAAATAATTCTAAATAAATATGTAGATATTATATCAAATATTAAACAGATAATACCTTTATGTGTTTCTTCTATTAAATCACATATGACTTTGTTATTAAAATATTGAATATTTTCCCAAGCAATACCTTCTCTCGAATATTCTTCTTGCTCTGATTTTAAAGTTAGTTGGATAAATAATTGTTGTAGTTTTTCATTGCAAAAATTGATGCAAAATTGCTCAAAACTACAGTAAAAAAAAAAAACAATTTTTAAATATAGAATATTATATAATTTTGCTTATTAAGTGCAGAGTTATATAAGATATGGAAATTAATGAATCAGTTTTTATCGGTTGTCTGTATACCTGTTTTTTTGAAAAATTTCAAATCCATAAATATCAAGTATTCCCATGACCACATACTTTTTGTGACGCATAGGTCGTTGTAAAGATTTATTTAATCTATTGACAAGCCATGTAAATAATCTATCATATATAGCTTTTGCTAATGCATCACGAGCATATATTGCTAATTCTCTATTTAATGGAGAGGTCACAACATCACCTTGTGCATCTATAGTACGATGAGTTAAAGCTTTGGTCAATTCTCGTGTACTGCAACCTAACAACTATTTGGCAAAAATGTGTGATATATTTAATACTCATAGTAACTATAATATATTCATTTTCATATACTTACAGTACAAATTGCATTGACAGGGCTAAAGGGTACTATTTTAGCGATTTCATTTTCTTCTGTAAAACCAATGTTTCCTAGATGCAAGACAGATGCAACTATGGAAAATAAGCAATTTTGTTCTTCATCCGTCATTTCAATAGTCTGTAAAGCATTTACTACTTCATGGTATTGGTTGGTATCATTAATAGTATCTACCGAACCCTCTACCTATGTTTTGGTAATAAAATGGAATATACGTGTGTGTGAAAATAACACTAATAAATTATTTTAAATATAAGTACGCATAATAAAATTGACATACCCCATTACTTAAATAAACGTAAGTATCCAAATCACGTTTGAGATAAAATTTGCTAAGAGTTTCTTCGTCAGCTCCAGCCAAAAGTTGATAAAATATATGAAAATTACGTTCACCTGGAAATTGATGTACCACACGTGATTTCTCCAATAGATAATTTAAAATATTTCCACCAATTGGATCTCCCTAAAATTCGTTAACATTTTTCGATAATCTCTCCATAACTCTTTTCAATATTTTTGTTTAAATTATCTTTAAAAACATTTTTTTCGACATACATGACTGTTAAACTGCATATCCATATATTTGCCAAAACGTGACGAATTATCATTACGATTGGTTTTTGCATTACCAAATGCTTCAAGTACTGGGTTACTACCGATTAATTTCCTATTTACTTCTTCAACTTCCTTTTTATGTCTAGTCGAAACTGCTATAAATTCTAATATTTTTTTCGATGCTTCTGTTTTCCCAGAGCCAGATTCACCTATATTATAAATTATGAATTTAATATTTAAAATTTAGTGCATAATAATATTCATATTATTTCACAAATTATTTAAAATTGCAAAAATAAAATAATTTATACACGATACCGGAAATAAGGATACATTGGTCATGATTTTCTTGAACGATAGATTGATAAGCAGTATCAGCTAACGCAAAACTGAAATTAAATAATATTGAAGATTATACTGATAAATAATTTTGTACGTTATATTTAATTAAAATTATTCTTACATATGAGGTGGGGCTTCAAAAAAATGCCTTTTATGATAGAATTGTATAGTGTCGATATCATAAATAGGAAGATTTTTATAAGGATTGATAGAAATCAATACTTGTCCAATGTACGTCTGAAAATGCATTACGAAAAAATAAATAAATTAATTTTAAAACAAAATTTCTTAATTTTTCATTTTTTTCAAATTTAATTTAAATAAAAAAATGTTTGTTTTTTAAATTTAAAACCGATCTATGGCAAAATGAAAAGAGAAGAAATGAATTAACGAGAAACTTACATAAATAAGATCTTCCTTAAATCTTTTGCGAAGATTATCAATAAATGCAGATTCACTTTGAAAGTCCTCGAGAAGAATAAAATCTTGAAGACCAACACGATCACGTTCATGTAATCCTCGTTCCATATTTTTGGATAATAACCAATGTGTTGTAGACATGGCTGGTTTTTTATAATTAACTGATGTACCCATTGTGCCCTTTTTCCTAATAAAACATATTATTTGTCTATGAAAACAAAAAAATTTCAACAGTTTAATTAATTCAAAAAAAGTTCGAACACTTGAATGTAATATAATAAATACTATGATAAAATTGAAAACAATATGAATTAGAGTTTATGGAAATAATATTATATTTAAATATATATATATATATATATTAAAAAAATAATTTATATACGACAATAGTTATTTAATTTTTTTTACAAAGAATATATATTAAATTGATCTATTGAAGCGTATGAGCTTCTGTTCGACCTCGTGAAATTACCAGCGATAATGTTACCGATTAGATACCGTTACAACTAAAAGAATACTCCGATACTGTTAATAGCATTTTTGTAAAAATCGATTAGATAATATCATTATATCAACAATATTTCGTATCAATATATCGAAAAGTTGTCACGTTTGAAAACACAAATTTCATTATTTCTATATATTTCTTTACTCATATACTTAATAATAAATAAATACAAAATATTGTAAAAAGAAATATATTAAAATAAAAACAAAATTATGCTAAATTTTGGGAAAGAAATTTCTTTCATTCGCTCGTCACTCATTATCGCAATAAAGTTTCGATTAATTACAGTATACACAATCTAATGTAAGTATAATTTCTTGAATGCCACATATACAGTACAAATATAAATTATTAGTGCTTTGCATAGTTGGCAATTGTCATACGTACTGTGTATGTACGTTATTGCACTAACGTGAGTTAACATTGGCTTCGGATAGATAAGATAGAAGAATACGTGAAGGTGCGGCCGCTCACCTCTTAAGAATGAATTTCGATCGATATTTGTCAACTTTATTTAATAATCGGTTTCATATTACTTTGATATTGACCTGAGTTTAATCAAAACGTTTTCGAACATTACTTGTTTAATAACAATATTTATAAAGAAAATCATGGAGACGTTACATACGAAATTTTTAACACAAAAATTTACAAGAAACACTTTGCAGTAGTTACCTTTCTTTAATTTACCGGTTTAAATTTGTTTATCAGTCTATTGTTGAATTCTAACGAACCTTCTCAATACGACAATCCTCACTGATCGAAATATTCATAACCGTTTTCTTAAGATTAACTTATTGACTACAACAATGATACGATGTACATTTTTATTTCCTTGTCAGACTTATCTCTCCCCTCTCTCTCGTCGCTCTTCAATTTTTTAACCCTGGTAACAAGAGTCGTTGAATTATTTTTCTTTTTTTTTTTTTTTCTTTTCTTTTCTTTTCTTTTCTTCTTTTTTTACATTATCCGCACATACCGTCGTAAACAACAGTGTTAATTTCTTCATGATTCATTTATTGTTAAATCGATTCTTCGACGCGCTAGTTTTGCGTAACTCGTACAAATAAAAATATAATTTGAATTTCGAGACAATTTGAATTGTGTTTGGGTATCGATCCATCTCAATAAGATCGAAATTACGATTATCGAAAGTAATGATTATTTTTTCGAGCTTTCTCGTTTGAATAAACCATCTATTCAAATTTAGATTTTGTCGTCATACGCGTGATGAGATACTTTTATTCTTTATGAAATATTTAACAAATTAGTTGTAACTTCCTATATTATCGTCAAAATAATATTACATATTTTTTTTTCATGCAAGTTCATGTTAGATTACAAAATTATCGGGAATCGTAAATTACTTTGCGGTACAGTTAATTGGCGAGACGTAACACTCGTACCTTCAAATTTCTTTTTCTTTTATAAAAAAAAGACTATGATAAATGTTTTTAAAATTGTAGATAATAATGCGTTACGATAAGGTTAGAGGTTTTTTATTTAATTGTTTCGTGATTTTTCTTCTCCCGATATTATTGACCACAAGCAACGAGGGTATATATATATATCGAAAGATTTACGAACTATGAATTAACAGTGCCAATTAATGCAAATTATCTAAAGATAGTCTCATTTTTTATTTTTTTAGCATATGATACCGAAGATGTAGATTTATCCAAATGTAAACTTACACAGCTTGGAACGGAATATCGAGGTTCGAAAATGGTAACCAGTAATAATGTTCGTTGCCAATATTGGCAAACAGATCAGCCACTTCATAAGGTTATTTTATATCTGAATTTATTAATAACTCTTAATTATCGACTTATGAATATGAAATGTTATCAGGTATATATTATTCATGATCGTTACGTTGCTATAATCGATCTTTGATCAATACTATAGTAATTAATAACATGAATGAATACTATGTAAACAATGTTTAATAATATCTCAAATATTTAATTTATTATACTATCTTATTCAACAGTCAATATAATAAATATGATGAAAATATTCAAATAATTAATGAAGAAATACCTTGGTCAAAACTCATCTTATATATTCAATCAATATTAATTATTATTTTTACGCCGATTTAATATTTATGATTAGGTTGATCCTAATATAACGGATGCAGACTTCCCCGAGAAATCTATGAAAGCTGCGAAAAATTATTGTCGTAACCCTACTAATGATCCACGAGGTCCTTGGTGCTATACATTAGATCCTACTCTTATAGACGATGAATGCGATGTACCTCTTTGCAATTTTGGTAGTAAGTAGAAAAGCAAAGTTAATAATCACAATTTTAATACATTTTTTAATACAATACGATTGTTGAATGTTTATAAGTGTTTTGGTATGATTTAGTAATTTTTTTAACAACAATTATAAATATTAATACACGTATTTTCATTTAGTGTGTTAGTACAAAATAATACAGAAATAATAGCGGGAAACCAAAAATTTTGAATGTACTTAACTGATATATCATTTTAAAATATATATAACTATAATGGTTTACTTTTGATAATTATAGAAGATAATCTACATAATAAAATAACTTATGTAACAAAAGTAATTAGTACAAAAAATGTCTGTTCTTTGTTTATCTTTATGTGGTTATGACATATATGTATATAATATTATGTGGTTGTTGTATTTATTTCATTATGGTCTAATTGTAAGATTGCAGAATTTCTGGTATAGGAGCTGAGTATGCTGGAGATCGTAAAGTTAGTTTTTCAGGTAAAAAATGTAAATCATGGGCAGAACGATACAAAGTTTCCAATGAAAAGGTATAATTATAATAAATTCATATCATACATATTATAATATAAGATTAATAATATATTTTTTAGAGTCCAGCATTTGCCAGTAAAAATTTTCCAGATGCATCATTGAAAAAGGCTAATCGTTTTTGTAGAAATCCTGATGATAATATTGGTGGTCCATGGTGTTACATACGTGATGAAACTTATGAAACAATTGAAAAAGAATATTGTGATATTCCATTTTGCGATGACAGGGGTATAATCACTTATAATTGAAAATTACAGACAGTTAATATAGACATCATTATACAATACTATTTAATAAAATTGAATTATATTTTAGATTGTTTAGTACATCTCAGAAATGCATCAAGATATTCAATTGTGACAACTCTAAACTTTACTTTCACAAGCGTTACATTTTGGATTAAATTATGGAATCCAAATGATGAATATAATGTATGCAATAGCATATATATATATAAAGTAATAGGTGCATTTTATTGTTGGAACTTATTTATATAATTATTGTTTAGGGAGAATTTAAAATTTTATTAAGTGTTCTTCCAATTCCTACATTCGCAAGTAAAATTGCTGAAGATTGGCATGCAGGTGTTGAGTTAATGTTCTCAAATTTTGGTTCTGGTCAAACATATCCTGATGCTCATGTTTGTATAATCTCTTTATTGTATTATAATATATATTAAATATATAAGTTAGAGTATTTTGTATAGATAGATGATTTTGAAGATACACCAAGTATCTTACTCGGTACAAAATGGACTGGTATATGGATTACATGGGCAGGAGGTTTTATATCAATAGGAATAGATGGATCATCTAAGCCCCTCTATATGGGGGAATATAAAAAGAAAAATACTATCTCAGACCTTTTCTCTGATTACTTGTTATATTATGGAATCATGGGTACAAATGTACTTTGGAGTTCAGAATTTTGTCAGATTGGTACGTTGATTACAATGTGAAAATCAAAATTGAAATATTCAAAAGTTACTATTTTCATTATATATTTGTAGATTGTGAAATTCATATAACTATTGGAACGGAATTCTCAAAAGTTTGGCCAATGCAAAAAACTAATAATACTTATGATATTCAGTTTAATGTGCGAGCAAATCGCAATATTGCTATACAAATCTATCAAAATCCTGTTAATATTTATCCATGTTTTACTGTGAGTAATTACTCTTATATATAAAATATTGTTAAGTAAACATCATATATTAACAATCAGGGGATATACATGTTTTAGATAATTATAGATAATGTTACGTCATTAATATATCAGAAAAGTAAATTGTCAATGAAACAATATTTGAAACAAGTTTCAAGTAAAGGATTGTTAAATATTTGGATATGGAAACAATTTTCTATTAGGTAGTAACACTTTTAATAATGAAAGTAAAATTAATCACATATTAATAAGTTCTTTCATTAATATAGTATTTTAGGTTCACATTTACGGTTATTTTATCAACAAACATATGGCGATGAAGAATTATTATACGTGAATCATGATCTTTTTAATACGTTAAGATGGTTCAGTATAGGAACTGAGTATAATTTAGCTTATTGGACACTTTTTTGCATACCAGATGGTTTTGTATATTATTAAATTTAAATTTTAAATTTATTTGAAATTCTTATTATATTTAAGAATCGTATACATTTTCGCAGAGACACATGTAGTAGAAGATCCATGGCCACCCAACTGTATATCTGATCTTATGGATTATGATTATAAAGGTGATCAGTGGTTTAGTGCTAGTGATGTACCTTGTATACCATGGATTTCAAAAGAAGTAAGAAATATATATATACATATGTTATTTATATAATATCTACTCCATTATTTATGACAATATAAAGTCCATAACTTAGATTATATTATGGTAGATACCAAAAGAAGAAAAAATTGACAGTAAATTTATTGATGGCTATGTTTTAAAAGCATTGAATAAATGCAGAAATCCTAGCCGCAGTCCAGAAGGTCCTTATTGTTATATAATGACTGATCCATATTCTTCAAGCATTTCAAAGCAGTATTGTTCAATACGAAAATGTTTATCTTCGGGTAATTATATTTTGGACTTGCTAACAGTAATATAATATAGTTTATTTTTCCTTATTGGCATTTATAATCTCTTTATTTAATAGAATGTAAGATGGCTGGTACTGCAAATGATTATATAGGATCTTTAGCAACAACACGTTCGAATAGAACTTGTGCTAAATGGATAGCTGATTACGAGCTTGTAGAAACGAAAGTATACGTACAAGATACACCTGAGACTACTACACAAGAACTTTTTCAATATCCAAGACGTTATATGACACAACAAGAATTACTTTTAAAAATGGATCCGCGAAGAAAACCTCAACTTATCAAAGTTTTAAGGCAAAAAGATTCAATTAATCGAACATTGTTCAACGAAACTTTGTATCCAGAACATAGTGCAAAAAAGGCTAGTAATTATTGTAGAAATCCATCTCGTAGTATCGCTGGTACATGGTGTTATACGACGGATCCTCTGGTACCACAAGATCTTTGTGATGTTAGAGATTGCAAAATGCTAGGTAGAGTAGTAAAAATAAAAAATAATTTAGGAAAAGAATATTATTCTATATTTTGAAAGTGTATTTGTTCTATCTTTATTATCATTTCTTTAGAGGAATGTATATTTCTTGTACATGGACATGGTATCGGTAGACGTCTATATATTTTTCCTGAATATCGTTCTGAGGGTCTACATTTTTCTCTGAAAGCTTGGGAACCTGATCAATTGGATTCTATTACAATTGTTTTTACTGCAGATGATGGTCTTAAATCACGATATATTCTTAAAATTGGAGCTTTGAATAACGAGAAGATACTTTTATATTATCAGTCTGAAAACGAAGGTAATTTCTTAATTTTTGATTGAAATTATATTCAGAGTTCTTAACAATTTAAAAATTGATCTAAACGTGTAAATATCATTTCTATTATTTACATTACACGAAATTTATTTAGCTATTAACTTAGTTAAGAAGAAAACATTACCGCATCTATTATATTTTGGAAAATGGAGCAATTTTGTTATTCGTATACCACGAGGAAGTGTTTTACTTTATTATGAAGGATCATCAAATCCTTTATTTGAATGGACACATCCAGAACCATCCAAAGTATTTTTGCCTGTTTATTATTATTATAATAGTGAACAAAAACATGCTGTAGGCGTTGCTTTTGATTGCAATTCTAGTTGGTATATTTCTTAATATTTGTATTACATTAATTAATTTATTATTACTGTACTGATTGTTATTGTTTTGAAGGATGTCAAATAGAAAAAACAGAAACGAATGAATTTACAAGAATATTACCATTTTCAATATGGGATAAAAAAAAAGTGACAAATATCAATACATTAACGCTTATGATACGTGCTAAAGGCATTGTTACAATTCCATTATTTTTGTTTCCTGCAACACCAAAGTAAGGATAAAAATAAAATTTATTTATTATTTTTGGAACAATGACTAATGATTATGTTTTATAACTATATGTTATTATATAGTTATCACTCCTTATCTCTTTTTGAATCTGGGCCATGGATATTCTTTCAAGAGAATAATTATCCCATTGTCAAAATATTTCATAAACAATTAATTTCAAATCCATTATTTACAACAAATTCTTGGACAAATATAACTATAAGGTAAATTATACAAATAAATTAAATTCTCTAACATCTTAATTTCATTTTATTTATAATTATAGATGGTTTTATAATATTATTGAATTATTATGTAATGATACATTGGTATTTCACTATGAACATAGCATCCCTCTGCTTTTTTATTTTTTTTCACTCACTGTTAACAACGATGGATGGGCTATTTGGTCAGCAAATTGCATTCCAACTGGTATACATTATTTTATATTCTATAAATATGTAATATGAAATAAGAAAGGTAAAGTGAATCGTTTGTTTTAAACTAAATATAGATATAGATGGATCTGCTATTGATGGTAGCTGGTCTGAATGGGGTCCATGGTCATGTAGTGCTAGTTGTGATGGTGGTGTTGGAACAAGAACACGTTTATGCAATTCTCCGGAGCCTAATATTAGAGGGGAACCATGTATTGGTCCTAGTAGTATGACAGGGCGATGTAATTTGATTAAATGTGGAGACTTAACAGAGGGTATTTTAAAAATATTTATATAAACTATAATATATAATGTTTATATTTTAATATATTAAATATACCATGTATAAATATTTGTTTATATAGATAGTATTATGTTAATACAAAGACGAATTAGAAGAAACCATACTTCTTTAGTTGTTAAAGAATATGGAACTATTGTAATTCAATCTGATTATGATATTATTCAATTACTATCAAATATATCTATAGATCCTGAGATACAATGGTCGCATAATGGAATATTTATTAAAGAAAATGATAGAATTAAGATAAAAAAATTTAATGTTGGTATGTTTATTTTTTGTGGAATATACAGTAGGTATTGATAAATTAAAATAATATGAATATATTATTTCAGTAATAAATAGAGCTCTACTGATTGATTCTGGTGTTTATACAATTACTTTACATAGAATTGATCAGTCATATCTCGTATTGAAAATTGTTGCTTTAGCTGTTATACCAAGTACAGAAAGTATTACTATACGTGAAACTTTGCCTTTATCTGTAATTTGTAATTGCCTTATTTTGGGTTATGTGTATTCTGATCTCAAAATATCTTGGAAAATAAATGAAAATATTTGGAAAGATTATGGCATTACATTACCTATCACTGTAAATATCGATTATATTAAGGCAATAAATAAATCACACCAAGGAATGTGGAAATGCATTGTAGAGCAAAGTGATTTAAATTTTAAATGGATAACTAATATAATTGTTGTTAAAGGTAAAAATGTAATATCTGAACTTGCTTGTCTAAAATAATGAAATAAGTTGAGGCACTGTAATTACATTTAAGATGAAATGTTAAAGTTATTGGTTCACCAAATTGGCGCACTTACTTAATGGAAGATAAGTTGACCAGTCCAATATTTGGTTGGATGCCAAGTGAAAATGTTGTTGCTATTTCAGCATTAATAATCTTTTTAATATTAATTGGTTGTATAATTATAGGTTCAATCTTTTTAATAAGGCAAGTGTAATTTTTTTAATATAATCGTCACAATAATAACATTTCATACGCAATAATAATTTAATGTTAATATTATACACACAGGCTTCAGGAAAGTCGAAAGATCAAAGTTCAAGCCAGAAAAACGAACAATAGAAATCGTTATAAACAGCTCCCAACTAAGAACAATCAAGAATAATACACTTTCTCATTTATTTAGAATTTTAATCATTTATCATCATTCTATTAACATATTCATAAATAAGAAAATTTAATCTTGGAGCGAATGAAATGTTAAGGAAACAACAAAATTTGTATCTGGTAAAAATGAAGTTCTAAAGTATCGATTAGTCCAATTCCAGGACATTGTGTAGTTATTCATTGAATGAATAATGAATGACGTTGTCAAGGTATTCGATACACCTAAGAATACAAGTGAGAATTTCACAGCACACGCTCTTCGATAATTTCGCCGTCATTTCCACTACCGATCTACCTGTATCCCCTTTATTTCTTTCTATTTCTTTTTTCTCTCATACTCCTTGTTGCCCCACTCTTTCTTTTTTCTTTCCCTCTCTCTCTCTCTCTCTTACGGCACATTCTCTCTTCGCGCACGTGTCTATCTTCCTTGCATGTATACGAAAACGTGTTCGTCGGCCTCTGGTACATATCCTGATTACTAATTTACGAAGCCGTGGACTACTTCCACGCTTGGTATGACACCGAATTCCATATTCCAGTCTAATGGAGAGTTGAGACGACCAAACCTGATGATCCTTAGAATCCGCGATTCGTGCAAGAAGCTGTACTATCATATCATTGATAGAACACTACTAATTGCACTTGTTTCCTACTCTATACATTAAGGATTTTATTATACACGATTTAGATCTACTTTCTAATCTCTTTTCCGACATCTTTTTAATGACCAGGTTTTCTAAGGTCGATTAATTTATTACTTGTATAGCTTATTAATTAAGAAGATTAATTCGTGTGTAAATAAAATTTAATATACGAAAACACTTCAATTATTTGAATAATTTTAACGAGTAAAATTAATTTTGGCTATTTTATTTTTAAAATATTATTTCAATTATTTAAAAAGTATCATATTTTTTTGTTAATTGTAAATATAATAAATGATGATGAGATCAATCGGATCTAGATTATTAAATTTATCTAGAAAATCTAATGTTCGAGTATTGAAAACAACGGATACGAGTTGTATGATCTATCGAGGAAGCTGCTTGATATTTACAGTTAGCTGCTAACTCGAACTCTCACGGATTGCTTTCATTAGTAATTCTCCAGAACGTTCAAATTTTGTTTTATTTAAATTCTAGGATTTATTGAAATACGAAGAAGAAATACTTGTATCTATTCTCATTTCGTTTCTTATTTATTTATCTCAATGAAAAATAATACATATATAATATGTATATATATATGTATAATTGATGAAAAATTGTATACATAGCCTTTGCAATATATATCTTTATTTCATATAAATAATTTTATATCATTTTCAGTCAACACAAATTACAAACGTAACAATTTAAGAAAACGAGATGAAGAATCTAACAATAAGGTATACATGGAGAAAGAAGAAAAAATAACAGGATAACGGTACGAGATAATAGTCAATTAATTAATTTTATTATATCGTCGTAGAATTTGTTTTCCCTTTGAATAAATCTCGCTTTCGAAATACAATACATTCTCTCAAGGAAGAGAGAAAACATAATGGAGTGCGTGAAAAAGACGATGGAATATAATACTAAGCACCCGAAGGAGGCACCACCAAGAAGGAGGACGAAGAAGGAGAACGAAAGAGGTGGAGGCACAAGTTAGTATAAAAGGGTCGAACCACAGTATCTCGTCTGTTTCAATACTCTCTACGAGTCGTGCGGTAGATCACACGTGTCATTGATCGGGACGATCATCCGCACACGCGACGTTCACGGCTTCCACATAGAGGAAGTTGAAAAGGTGGACTAGAAGGGAGAGTGAAAGAGAAATTAAATAAGAAAAGAGAGGTGAGTCCAACGGAATAAAGCAGTTCTGTATAATTATCCTGGAAATTACTTCGATCGGGCGATGATAAGAAACAACATCAAAGATATACGAAAGGCAAAGTTTTTTGGGGGTGGTTTGAATCAAGTGATATTGTGTGCACCGTCAAATAAAGTGAAACAACGTATATACTTGATCTTTGTGAATAATATTATTAAATTTTATAATAGAGTATATATTATTAATCGTATAATTCAATTTTGTTGGATGTAATATTACAACAACGACGATGCCATTATTCGGTTATCCATTTTAATTTCGTGTGTAATTATCGTGCGAAGATACATTCTTTGTCAATGAGAGTCAGATGTTTATTAATGTATAGTAATCTATGATTTTTTTTCAGAATAATGAAACTAGTGGCAGTGCTTGCATTGCTATGCTGTCTTGCCATAGGAGCATTGGCATCACCAGTGCCGAAAATCAGCGATAGCAAAGCATCGATTTCGAATACTCTTGTCTCAGGAAGACAAGCACAAGTACCACCGGTAGCTACAGATGATGATGATGACGACGACGACGACGATGACGACGTCGATTTAGATATTACAGGAGATGACGATGACGACGATGACGACGAAGATGATGACGACGACGATGATGACGATTACTTGGAGCGTTTCATCGAAGACATTTTAGGAGGTAAAATAAAACGAACCATCTATTAAATTTTTCAAGATGAAAAAATAAGAATAGCACTTAATAATATTTCTGATATTTACTAAATAATCTGATTTGATCTAAAATCCTGTACTGGAATGATGGTAAAAATCGTAAAAGAAACTTCACCGTTACACAAACATCAGAAACTCACGCGGAATAGCATGCTCGATGGAGTCTGTCGAGTGTTCACGGCTCACATCAATAGTAACGGTACGAGGCGCATCGAACTTGCCTGAATTAACATACATCGACGGCGATCTCAACTCAGAAAGAATTTCTATGCGCTACTTTTTTTCTCATCGACCTACATTCGAGAAGTTGTTATTAGGAAGCGCAAGCACGTTCGAATTTCGATCGTACGACAGTTGCACCAGTTTTTTTGCAGTTCGTGTAATTGAATAATGTTATATATAGATGTTTTCTAGATAAAATAATCATTTTTTTTGAGACAAAAATACGCGTGATTATCGCATGTAGGTCGACTATTTATATTTTTCTTATCTGATGTAATTTATGAGGTTAAGAAAACTTGTTTAATCGTAGGCGAGGAAGATGATGATGATGATGATGAGGAAGTAAGTCAACCGGCTTCACAAGTAACACCTGTAGCAGCCTCACCGATACAGTCAGCACCAGCACAATCACTACCAGCGGCAGTTCAAGCTGATTTGAATGCTGCTGCAGCATCCGCAGATAATACAGCTGAGGAAGCAGCCATTGGGAGTGAACCCACATCAGCCGACGGAGACGCTTACGATGAAGTTGATGAAACTGCGGACATTGTGCCAGAAGGTCAAGCTGTTAGCCAAGAATCTGGACTTGAAGGTGCAGACTCTATTGTGAATCCTGTCGTCCAGCCAGCTAATTCTCAAGCTGCAACGGCACAGGGTGACGACGACGACGATGACGACGACGACGATGATGACGACGACGTCGACCTCGATATAACGGAAGACGACGACGACGAAGACGACGAAGACGATGAAGATGACGACGACGATGACGACGACGACGACGAGGATGCCATTGCGGACATCACCAGCGCCAGACATGCACGTGAGTTCAAGGGCAAGACCAAGAAACACATTAGCAGACACAAGAGTGCACGCTTATCGCGCAAACGACCTGTAGCATCTTCTTTTTCGGCTCGCTCGTCTTCCTCATCGTCTAATGCTTCCTCTTCCTCATCCTCTATTATTCCTTCAACAACTTCATCCTCTACCATCTCTCACCCATCAAGACGTTACGAATCATCCAACTTGTCTTCTCCATCTTCTTCTTCGACCATTTCGAGGAGCGTTTAAAATGACGCGAGGAAAATGAGCGATTTTGTAATGGCAAATGGGAAACATGACTCACACAAATGTGTCTCGGTATATCCGGTTTTCTCGATAAATCGAAATTAACGAAACAAAGTCATTTAGTTCTCATTCGAAGAGAAATATCGTTGAAATGCTCCGAACTTTTCACGAACCGGTTCATATCACGATTATAAATTATCTGTTATTCTTGCTTCGATAAAATACGTTAGAAACACTTTTAGGAGTAGTATTTATTTTTATTTATCGTTCATAAAATATTTTTCTCGAAATCATTCGCTTGTTAAGCGTCATGATACTCGCTTGTTCTCTGTTATTTTATGCCTTTTCTTTCCTTTTTTTGAAGTGAAAACTTCTTTAGAATATCGTTGTTTATTTATGGCTTTTTAAAAATTCCAACGTAGTGGGTACTGGGAGAAAGAATTTAAATGATTAATATGTAAATAAATACCAATATTTTTTAAGGTCGTAAAAGCGCTTTCTGCGTAGTTTCTTGCAGTAATATGAGACCAACAAAAAGGTGGAGGCGCCCTTGAATTTCACGCTTGTCATTTTAATGCACATTTCTCAGGACCTAAATCAGGTTTTTTACGACCATACGAATTACTTAAATTCATTACTCATGGTAAATGTGTGTTTATTAGTCATTAGTCATTATCGAATCGTGAAATATATTACGCTAAAGATAAACAAAAAAATTCATTCAGAACTGAAATGAATAGGGTTGAAATACTTTGCATTGGTGACGTCACGTCACGTACTTGTTTGATATTTTTCATAGATCAATTGACTTATAAATATATTTACAAATGAGATTGTGAAGAAGAGGGACAGCGATTCAATGATGCCATTAATCTGGATTGGAGAGAAAACAATATCGCCATATATCATGAAAAAGAATGTAACAACAAGAGAATTGTTGTTTTTTACTATTGTTTAAGTATTTATCAATGATTAAAAATAGATTCATAAAAAAAAAAGTGAAATCAATGATGGTATCTTCTATTCAATAATGCAAGCATATATATGATTATAATAATTCATAATCAAACTAAGTTTCTGTAGTAAGAAATATTGTTCAATTCTAAATAGCAAAATACACGATAATTTATTATTTTTACAAAATTGTGTGTCCCACCTTTTATTTCTTCACTGCCATCCGCATTTAAAACAATTTAATAATAAGGAATAATCCTTTCTTTATGAAATCAAGAAATATGTTCATTTTCGAACATCTTTCTGAGCGTATTAAAGCAATGCCATTATATTACGTGACGTGTCGAACCATCGCTTTCATTTAATTTATATAAATCCTTATAATTCTAATTTAAATTGCCGAAAATCTATGCTTGCCCTTTTGCATGTATACAAAAATTCAGTATTCTTTTAAAAATTATATTGCTTATGTAGTAGTATTGTAGTGGGTGACTGGATTGTTGCTTGAAATTATTGCTTTATAATAATTTTTGTCTTTCTTTTTTAAACATGAATAGAAAATTACACATTAGATATTATTAATTACTCCTATTAATGACGCATCTTCGAATGTAAATTTTACAATTAATTTAACAGCTAAATTCTCTCTCGATTCATAACAAGTAGCAAGCTTAATGAACTGGAACTAGCAAATTCGTCTAAAACGCAAGCAAATGTAGTCAATAGGAAAATGTTAACGTACTAAAAGTATCAAAGATTCACGACCAGTTATCGGGTTCACCAATTAACTTTCTACGTGATTCCGAAACTGAGTATAACAAAGGTGTGACCATATTGAAATTTTTTTCCAACTTTCACGAAGCAGCCCGATGACCCAAAAGAGAATCGGGTCAGTGACCCGGAGTATAACACTCTCTACCAAGACACACGATTGTCTGATTACGACCCTGACCCACACCTCGTCGCGGCTTCCTCGTCGCCATATTTGTGCTACTTATTCGTTTCTTTCTCGAATGGAGAAAAAGATTATTTATATCGTATGCGTGTACGTTTATCGTGAGAGAAATGGTTACATCAATATTATTTGGTTTAATCGGATATATCTCGAAAGTTAATATCACTAGCAATGTAACTTATCATAATTATCGTTAACGAGTAATACAAAAGGAGAATAAGACGCTAAAGATTAACGCGGATGATCGTTAATAATCAAATGGACGTTTTGATGGATCTTTACAAATTACGTACCTACATCTCACATCGTTGAGGTGTTGCATGATCTCGAGGAATTGAGGGGTAAAAAGAAGGTCACTGATGAATAACTACGTCAATGTTAGAATGTAATACGTAAGAACGTTTGAATTTAAGACGGCCTTGAATAAATGGGGCCTCGTCGAATTTTTCTTTAATCTTGATCTCTTCGTTACGACGAGGTCGAAGAAAGTGACTTTATGTAGGTGCAACGACCGGGGAGAGTTTTTAAGCGGGCACAAGAAAGACGGACGAGTACACACTGTCGCGAGTAGATAGGTCGATAGGTGAGATGAAAGAAGGGAGACCAGTTTGGTCTCCCCGAAGGACTCCGATTTACCGTTATACCCATCGACGATTCAACGATGCTCACTTCGAAGTAGGCTTCGATCGTCACCGTCACTTCCTTCCAAGGTAGCTAGAAGAGAATGTGCTGACGGTTTCCCTTCATTAAAAAGCAAGCCTGGTAGAAGCGCGTTCTCGCAATGCATTCGGCGGATATGCCTCTTTTCTGGTCAATGACCTCTAGAAATACTCCGGAAAGATGACCTCATAAAAGTACAGTCAAGGCCACCCTCTCAATACTTCTAACAACGTCCGCATTCCACTAAATTCTTCCACTATTCTCCATCGACCTTAACTCTTATGATTTCATTATATTTCAGTGTAAACATTTTGTATATGATTGAATATACTTTTGTTGAATACGTAACAGGATTAGACGAAATTATGACCGAAGTATTATAATGTGAAATTGTGTGATAAAACATTCAGATTGTTTCTTTTTATTTCAAATAAGTAAAGAAAATATTTTTCACACAAAATTTTAGATGATTTGGAGTCGGAACCCAGCAGCTATGTACCAGCCATCTATGTCGCGAAATACAATCACTTTGTGGACAACATCCTCGAAAGAATTAATAAAATTTTACGCACTAATTATGATCCGGTAAYGGTCAAATTAACTAACACGAACTTGAACTCGAAGTCGAATAAAAAGAAAAACAAATCCAAAACTAAGAAGAATAAAAATGGTTCGAAGAAGAGTGCTTCTGGATCAATCATGCATATCTCCGAAAATATAAACAACGAAGAGTCGAATGACGTACAGGTATCGTCTTTGTCTTTAATAAAAACTTTCAGTTCTATTTTTATTTTTTATTTCTTTGAGAATAACTATGTTTATATAAAATTGATTAAATTTATCTTCTACTCAGAAAATGACAGATTCTCACAAAAACTCACCTATAGCTACAACTTTAACGGATATAGAACAACCAACAACTATGTCAACTCTTGAATCATATAACACTGCCATTGTACAAAGTCGGATGAGAAATGGCAAAAGAAAATCATCTAATTCGCAAAATAAAAAATCTAATCGTAATAAAACGAAAAATCGAAACAAAACAAAAAATTCAACAAACAGTAGTAACAAAAGTAAGGTAAGTATTTTTAAAAATTTGTTCAACCTACTTGTTCGTCAATAAGGATCATAATAATATCAAAATTGCGTCATAATTTAGGCTAAAGCAAGAGCGATTTTATACGGGCTCGCTTCGCTTCAAAGATCAGGAGATGTTTCTGTAAATATGATGAGTGATCATACAACAATCAAAACAAAATTCACTTTGGGACCTTTAATACTCAAAGTCGAAAAAGAGTTTGGTAGAGCTGCAAAGAAAGAACTTAGAAGTGCAACTGCTACCACAGCAGGAATGTCTGGCAAATTAAGTCTTCGTGTGATGCACGGAGGTGCTGCCACGTTGCATTCTATTCGTGTTTTACAACCCAAACAGGTTAATATTTAAATTCATTTAATAATGATACATATAAAAACAAAACTTAGTGTAATTAATGCCAATAATTTTATTCTTAATTAGGTTCGCGTTGAAAGTGCGGACGATCATGATAGAACAAGAGAATTCGTTTGGAAAAGATCGTCACATATTGCTCATTTAGTATCTCAAAAACTTTTAACAGCTACAAGGTCGATGTTACGACCTCCACCTGTCCCAGCACTTGCTGCTTAAATTGTTTTCGTACCTGATCCAAATGAAATCATTATATATATAAGTGCCATAACAATGGATTCAATTCGTCATTTTGCGTTACTCCATTTTGTGGTACACGCTCTTTGTTTTTGAATCACGACTTAACCGATTCAAATCAATGAAGAATTATTTGCTTATTCTTTCTATACTCTTACTTAACAGAAAAAAAACAAAGTATATTTTCAAAGAAGTTATTATTTTTTTGAAAAAATGACAAAAAGAAAGTATAAGTAATATGATTTCATTTTGGATCAACATTTATTTTCTAACGTCTATATATGTGTGTACTTATTTATTTATTTATATTATTTATTTTAAATAGTGCCAATATTTAAGATTGCAATTATTTTAAATATTACAAAAACTATTCCGGAAAAAATATGTTTACGCAAAGAAATAAAAAATAGTAGACGAAAATAAAACTTAATTAATAAATTAAATTGTGCATTAAATCAAATAAAATATTAAGTGTGAACTTGTTAATTTCTCTTCTATTTACGTATATTAGTTCTATGATTTCTGGCAGTTTTCAGGGTATGAACATGTTTCGCATTTCTTACGTATTTCGACATTTTTAAAACATAACAAATCGATCGGTGATGGTTTATGTTCTTTGTCTCCCATCCAATATTTTTTAATTGATGCAGGATCCTCACCTAAATCATATTGTAAATCCATTGCCTAAAGAAAAAATATAAATAAGTTAAAAACTTCATTTTTCATTAATTTATCTTTAACATAAAAATGTTTATATTTACATCAAATAATTGAAGCCAAGCTATATGAGAACAATGAACAACAAATGAGTAAACAGTTTTTTCAAGGTATACGTCGTAAATTATTTCCATCGTTGAAGAAATGATTTCCTTTAAAATAGAATTCACAATGAAAGAATGATTTTCTTCTTCAAATATTTCCCGCCATTTAAATTCGGGTATTTGGAGAGAAACAATTGTTCGAAGCTCGTTATAAAAAATTTCATTAGATTTATTTAGTCCTCTCAAATTTTTATTTAATTTCTCTTTCATCATTATTTGTTTATTTATCTTAAATTAATAAATTTTCTGTTAATCAACATAAAATTATAAACTTCCATGGTCATGAAATGACATAGATTTGACAGTCGATTTCGTAATTTCCCGTGTAGTTAATTGAACGCGCGTTATTTCGAATTACAAAGAATGTTGTCCTTCTATCGGTTGTACGTTATCAATGAACGAGTTTGTAATGAAAAAAATAAAATAAAATAAAAATAGTATTTTCATTAGCGTCGTATGTTAAGAAAGATAAAATGTTATTCATGGAAACATTGCCAAAAGATATCAATGATCACGTTATTTATTTATGTATTTATTTCCAAAATAATTATGCTAATTAAAATTATGTGTTACAAAATTTCTCAATAAGAGGATTTGTTTCAATCTTTGATATATACAATTCAAAACTTCGAGTTAGTGATACGTGTTTCATTGTATATCGAACTTTATTTCTTATTAACGAATGGTGCTCGACAAGGGTTTTACGCCGCAGCAGTGTTTTGTTCAAAGAAATGGAATTGTCGGATGATGGGAGAGACATTAAAAACTTTGAAGATGCACGAATTAATGTAAACGAAGATTGTCGAATCTGTTTACAAAAGTCTAACGAAACATGTCAACTGTTTCCAAACAACAAAGGTTTTTCTCAGAAACTAATGGCAATTGCTGGTGTGCAGGTTAGAATCGTTGCATCGTTAATTTAAATATGTTGATCTATTCTAAAATTACCTTCGTTTATTTTTACTTTTATACATCTTTTTTGTAAATTTCAAAAAGAGGTTAAAATTTAAAGTTTTATATGAAATCATTAGACAGTTAAATTTAAACCGCTAATATATAGATAAGGTCTTTTAATTCTATCTTTTCTTTATTTGATGTGTGTTTGTTTGTGTGCGTCCTTTCGTAAATGAGTACGAGGCTTGTGTGTACTCAATTAAAATTGTATTACTTTATTTATATTTTTACAGTTATTAAATCCATAAGAGATTGATTAGTTTTTAATTTAAAATGATGGAACAATAAAATATTTATACCAGAATAATGTATTCTTTAAGTCTTATGTATTTATTGTTTTACATTGAAGACATTAATTCCTTTTTAAATATATTTTACGTGTATATAATACATATATAGAAGATTAAAGCAACTTTGGGCAGGTAGAAGACAAATTAGTTATATACATTGAATCGAGAAAAAGTTTCTTCTTATTTTGACACACAAATGAAACAAGTTTTTTTTCATATTTTCAATAAAGTCTTTTTCAAATGGTTTAAAATTATTTTGTAGTCGATGTTTAGTTCATTACCGATATCATGACTGTTTATGTCCCGGTCTTGCTCAAATTTTTTCATTATTTCATCGACTTTTCCAATGATTCGTCGATCAAAGAAAGATGCATCTTTAACATTTAAATTTCCAGATTTAAAACGCTTGAACTAGTTTTATGCCACACATACAGATACTGCATCATGTTCTTAAACATTACACATTTTATTACCAGTTTATTACCACTTAGAAAATACGAAAAAACTTTTTCCTTAATCTAATATATTTAAAATCATTGTTTATTTGTTAAATATAATTACTTTATTTATTACAGGTAGAAGAAGGAGATGGATTGCCATCGGTAATATGTTTCGATTGTTCTCAACTTCTTGACATATCCTACAACTTTCGAAGTCAAATACAAAAGACAGATACAAAATTACGTGAAATATTGAAACTCGGATCATGTACAGCAAAAGATATTGAAAATGAATTGAAAGTAGAAGATCATTTTTCTAATATCATAGCAGATGCAATATTACAAAGAAAAGTTACAAATAATATTGGCAATGATAATAAAGATGGTGAGGATGATGATAATGGTAATAGAGAGTGCAGTAGTAATATCCATGAGCCATCTATACAAATTGATGTACAAAGTTTTCCTAATGATCAACATGATTTCGCCTCCGAAATAATTAATGATAATATAGATTCCAATGACAAGTGCAATTCAATAATTGAACTAGAAAATAAACAAGAAGAACCATACAAAGTTGTAGAAAACATAAAATTACCTCAAAGTTGTGAAACCATTACAAATAAAATAAATAGTGTAACATGTCATTCGTCTAATTTAATAACAGAAACAGAATGTATTAAAGAAGACTTTTCTCGTGAAAATAATATATCAGAAAGTAATAATTCCATCGACCAAAGCATTGTAAGACAAGAACAAATATTCAAACTTGAAATAAAAAATGAGTTAGAAAAGTTAAACTATAATACACTTATAGAAAGTTCATCCAAAATTATTAATATTCAAGAAGAAGGAAAACCTATCTATAATTGTAGTGATGATGAGGAAAAACCTTTAATTAGTAGAACTACAAGACAGAAATGTTCGCAATGCATTAAATCATTTACTACACGTTTAGCTTTACAAAGACACATGACAGTACATAAACATAAAGCAGAAGTACGTTATGTTTGTTACATATGTGATAAACAATTTTCAAATATTACTAAATTAAAGAATCACATTAATAGTAGACATCATGTACGTTTTAATAATAAGAAAAGAGAGAAAGAAAATAGTGACAATAAAGATGTACATTTCAAAGCAGAGGATCTTGATAATAATTGTAATAATTCTATGGATAATACTAAAACTGAAAAAAAAAATTGTAAATTTATATGTAAAGTTTGTTCTAAGCAATTTACATATCAAAAATCTTTTTTGACACATGCTAAAAGTCATCCAGAATACAATCCTGAAGATTTAAATGATTTTTCTAGTGAAACTGGAACCCAATTGAATGAAATCAAAAATAAATCCGTACTAAAACAAAATGAATCAGACGATGGAAATAATGACGACATTGATGATATTGATAACGACGATGACAATGATAATGATAATTTACCAATGGAAAGTCCTCAGTGTACACAATGTGGAAAATTATTTGCAACCAAAAGAAATCTTAAAAGGCATATTTCTACTCACAGTGGTTTGAAATACAATTGTTCGACTTGTGGAAAAGTTTTTTCAAGAATAGATAAATTAAAAGACCACGAACAATCAAAGCATAAGGATGAAATATTTGGAAACTCTGAAGAAGAGAATGAAGATGACACAGATAATGAAAATAAAGTTAATGATGGTTCTAATGAACGAAAGAAGGTAATATCAAAAGTAAATTATTCCTGTGAAAGTTAATTACAATATTTATATGGTTAATAATAAGAAATATAAGCAGATCTCTTTACATAATTATCTCATTGAAATTAATTTGATACCTAATTGTTTACAGGGTAGGCATAATAGACCACATAAATGTGCTCTCTGTCCAAAAGCATTTGCTCAACAGCAATCTTTAGCTAATCATATAGAAAGACATAAACGTACTAAAGATAGTCAAAAGCGATTTTTGTGCGAAGTTTGTAGCAAATGTTTTGCTCAAAGTGGTTCACTGGTTGCTCATATGCGTACTCATACTGGCATTAAACCATATGTATGTAATATCTGCAGTAGAGCTTTCACTAAAAGCACATATCTGCAATTACATTCAAGGACTCATAGCGGAGAAAAGCCTTACATTTGTCAATATTGTAGTAGAGCATTTGCACGTGCCAATACTTTAGCCAGGCATATAACGATGCACACGGGAGAAGCTAAATATCACTGCCAGATTTGTACTAAGTCTTTCAGACGATTAACTTCTTTAAATGAACACACATACACGCATACTGGCCAAAGACCATATGCATGTAAAATATGTACAAAAAGATACAACAATGCAGGTTCTTTGTATGCGCATACAAAGAAATGTAAAGCTCAGCAATTGTCTAATTCTACAACAACTTTTACTCTTTCAATGGATAATTCATTGCCACAAAGTGGTGGACCCACATCACAGGTTTTAATCTATTCTCAAAGAAAATTATTAGAGGATGCTACTGTTGGTCAAATAACACCAACTCCGCAATACATGATTGCTAATGTACATAATCAAAAAGCCTTATCTACAAATATTATGCAACCATTTACGGTTGAGGATCCAAATGTATGTACAGTCAATTCTAAACAGTTAAAAAATTCCTATTATTCTATATATCCAAATGTATAAGATACTCTGCTGAGGTATACTTAGTAAAAATTGTATAATTATATATCAATCTAATGAATCATCTATTTTTAAGATGTGAATAAAAATTAAAGTCTGATTGTAGAACATTAGAATGCAGCAGTATTTGACAAAAGAAACGAAGACTTATTAAAGTGTTAAGAAATTAAGTTTATCGACTAGATCAAATAAAATAAACTTTCGTAAACGTCTTTAAATAAGATTCAAGTTTTAAAATATTAATAGAAATTCAGGTTTACGTACCCAGTCATAATAAAATGAAATAAATCTTTCTAACATTTTCAAAATGTGGTATATTGAATTTTGGAGAATTTCAGCTTGCGTACACCGCAAATTTTAAATCATCCGTGCTTACATCGATACTTTAAATTACATGTTATAAAGTAACAACATAGTTCAACCATAAGCAGAATTCCTTTTAGCATTACATATGGTTTTTCTATATTTTTTTTTTCTTCCTGTAGGTACATAGATACACATACAAATACACATAAGCATAAATACAAATAGACAATTTTTAATTTTAAACTTATTAAAAAAGGCTTATTATTAAAATAAATTATTTATTTAAATGTATATTTTTTTGATTCACGTATTCATAAATAAAACATGTTTATTGGAGATTAGAAAATATTAGAACTTTCTCGAATGAGGAATGTTTTATTTTTTAGTACTTTTAACAGGCCCAATGATATTAGTTACTATTTATTTTCATTGAATTCATGAAATGTAGCCTTAAAATAGAACGAATACGACAAAATTGTAGTAGCTTCAGGAAATATTTTGGAACGCCATCTTGCCTCCTAACTGCTAAATTATTATTCAGTGAATGCGCTTGTCATAAAAGTGGATTGTGTTATTTTCTTCTCTATTTGAGTTGTAATTCTGTCATTGCGTTAAATTTTAAGTAATCAAAAAGGTGAGGGAATGCGAACACTGAAATAAAAAAAAAATAGTTCGTTTTGCAAGTTAATAAGAAAATTTTGTGCTTGCTCACGCACGAATGACAAAGGCTGTGGTATATCATGGAACGTAGAGTTCGTTCTTTGATGCAGTCTATTCTAATCTGTTCTAAATCTTTCATTTAACAATAATGATAGACTATAAGTCCTCGTAAAGAAGCTAATCATTTTCTTTATGAGGCATCATTTTTGTTGTTGTTATATATTAGATATCAGTATTCGTTTGAAATGTAATTTTGTTATTCGGAAAAAATCAGAAACATTCGGGGAGTAAATCTGGCATCTCATAAATCATCTAGTAAATTCGAATAGAGACAAGAAATAAATCGTGTTTCAGTCTACAATCATGCACGAATAATAGTGTATAGCAGACTATTGTGCGCGAACGATGGCGTTTTTTCTTGAAGAAGTACGCATAGAGGATTGTTTCCTGTTTGTATGACGTTTGCTGCTTTCATAAGTCTATTGGATCAACACTAATTACGGTAGTAGCAGCCGAACGAAGTATTTAAACACGCGAGTGACACTTTCTAGTGACAGGTTGTAAAGAGAAGAACCCTTTTTTTTTTTTATTTGATACTAAATACGTTGAACGTTAATATTTCAGGTATAGCATGATAACCTTCAAATGTAGGTAAACGTAAAAATTGCTTAAGGAAAAATACATATATAACTATTTAATTCTATTACGAATACTACAATCTTTTTTGGCTATTTTGTATTGATTTTGAGTATTTTATTATATCATTCATTTGTTTTTCAATTCGTGACACATTCTATCATTATTTCGAATTATTTATTTCTTTTTATTCACTCTATAAAACAACAATCAATACTTACATGGTTCGATATTTATAATACTGTTAGTTTAATCGTGAAACCTTGCATTAGATCTCAACTCTAGTCCAATGTAATTTTATATTTTTTTCCAAGAGTTATACACACATAACTTCATTCTTAAACAAATTTAAGTTTAACAAATATATACATGCATTTATTTAGTAAAATACTTTTATTAAAGCTTATATTAAAAAAGAATATCTATTTAATAAACACCTAAAAATAGTTTTGAGGTCCAGTTTTTTATACTTAACGATGATAAAAATATTTCTCAACTGACTTAACTGCAACAAAATAAATTTATATTATGTTCTATTAAATGTAATGTTAATAAAATTATATTTTAGGCATTTTCTACAATATAATTTTTTATTGCATGTATTAAAAAAAACATAATTTTTCAATAATCTTTTATTACATATATATATATATATATATATATATATGATGATAATATTCATTCACGAGGTAGTTTAAAAGATAAGATAAGATGGAAACAACTGTAACTCATAATTGATAACAAATTTGTCTTATTTCAGAAAGGGAGCAGTTTTATAACGGAACAGTCTAATTTAATTATCCTATCAATGTAAGTAAATTTTTAATTACAAAAATAATAGTTTGAATGTAAGTTAGTTAGCTTCTTCGTAATAAAAACAGGGGCTGGTGATATACTGATTTATTTTCTATCTCTACTAAATATACAATCTATCAAGGAATTAAGTAAGTTTTCATGCTGTTAACATAAGTTGAAAAGCTTTCGTATTGGTAAACAGTTTATAAAATTAAATGTTATTACGCGTATAATTGAAATTTGAATATTTTTACAAAATTTATATATGCTTATATTTGTCATTTGTAATATATTTATAAATTGGTCTATCTAAATATATAATTTTACCTAAAATTCTGACTGCGTGAATAACATGATATAACTTATACGATTGCTATAACATTAATTAAATTATATCGTTGACAATCGTGGCAATATAATTTAGATTGTATGTCTTAAAAATTACTAGAACAAAATTAATCATTTTTATAATAAGCGGTATACAATACTACATTTGCATAATCGCTTCAAATGTTATTCCAAATATTTAACATTTATTGAAAACTACAATATGTGTATATATCTATATATATACAATTTCTTGTAAATTTATTGTTATGCAAAAGAAAATTTTTAATTATTCTTTTGTTGATCAGTAGAGATAGCAAAAATGGTCCTGTTTGATTATTTTTAAATGTATTCTATTTATTTTATTATAATGAGAGAAATATTTACTCATGTTAGAGTATTGTTATAGCATGTGTCATATTTTATTATAATATATTAAGCATTTTTTAAAAATATTTTTCCTATATTTATTTAATTATACTATAGTATTATAGTGGAGAGATTATGTATGTAGTACAAACAAATTTATCTGACCAGTTGATACGTATTTCTATTGAATGTAGATGATATATTTTATATAAAATAAAGCCAGAATGTATATACTTGCAGCTATAATTTACACTTAATATATTAATAAACATAGGATATGTGTGGTGCCTATTTAAAATTTGCAAAATTTAATGCTAATAGGAATAAGTAATATAAAATGCTGTTTCTTAATTAGAAACTAAATTCTTCTTTATTTGTATATTATTTCTTTTTTCTAATGCTTTTTTCAGGAAATGCACGATCATAAAGTATATTTGTTCAATATATATATTTCTCATTATTATACTTATTTTTATTTATGATGTTCAGTATAATGGAGTAGGAGACATTTAATTTTATCTGCAATATTTATTTGCATAATAATTATTTCTTATTTAAAATCAAAGATACGAATATATTATTACTTCTTCAAGTGTTTAAATATGGAATAACATTGGATTGCTTGTGAAATACAATTTATGTATTAAATAATGTCATATTTATTTACGAAGTCATCTGATAGTTTAGGGTTTTATTCTGATTTGGAGAATATTGGGAGTTTTCTATATTTCTGGACAAGACGTAGTTTCATCAACACCAGCGGCGAAACTTGACATGCCAACAATGGCTATGCAAAAGGTAAATTTTTGAAACAGTTTTAATCATTGATTTAACAAGTGTTCGCACTTTAACAATCAGTGCAATATGAATTTAAATAATTAGTAAGAATATATCTGAGATATTTTTAGCTTATTATAAATGCCCATATGAATAATAAACAATGATATTTATACTTTATTAGTTAAAGGTATTCTTACAAGGTATTGTGATCTGTTTTTTAATGTCCAGTATATAATTTTGATGTTATATGATAAATAATAAGAGTAGATAATTAATTTATAAATTATGCAAGTTACTATTGCATTGAATATTATTTCTATGTAAAAGGATTATAATAATACTGATCTAGTTACTAATTATTAAGTTTTTCGAATGAAAGCTGTTTAATAAGGCATTATTTAAAAAATATTGTATGACAATTACTATATTTATACGACACATACATTTTAGTTTTATTTGTTAGGTTTTTGTATTATTTCGTATCTGATATAGAAAGTATTTTGTTAAACTATTTTAAGCTTATTATATTTAAAAATCTCCTAAAATTTATTTAATTTGCCTATCTTACTCCTAACTGAACTAAATTGTTATAGAAATATGTTGAACAAATGTAACTTCTATTGTATAATATTATGTAGGTGGTAATGCTTTATATAACCTTAATTTTGTAAGGTATAAATATTTTAATTAATTTTAAGCTTAATTTTTCTTTATTTACCAGCATGACTTTTATATATAACAAATGTCCATATTTATTATCAACAGTTTTATATCTTTTAACAAATTGTTTGTGCATATTTAATATAATCACAGCCTTCTTTATTTTACAAAATATATGTATATACATGTATAATTCGCATAACTCTCTCTCTTGTATATACATATATAATAATATTTTTATATTTCATAGATTATATTTTTATTTTATTTATATTAAATTGTTTTTTAATTATATTTCTACATAAATTTGTATCTAGATTTACAGACATATAACTACCACTTACTTACAAATTCATGAAGATGTAATAATAAGTATAGGCTATTCGAAAAATCATAAATTTTATTATTAATTAGTAAGCAATAATACTAATTTTTAGATGAGAAGACAAGGCCAGGATGTCATGCAAATGAACTTAGCTGGTATTAGGCGAGATATTGTAAATCTTGCTCATAATTATAGCAGTGCACAGGTAATTTGTTGCTTTTATCTTACTTTTCTTAATATTTAATAGTTAATGTTATATCATGTCAACAGATTAATTGATATCAATATGGGTCGTGTTATTTACTTTACAGAAAGCCGTAAGAAAAGCTACCAGTAATGATCCTTGGGGTCCAAGCAGTACTCTTATGGCAGAAATAGCTGATTTGACATATAATGTTGTGGCCTTTACTGAAATTATGCAAATGTTATGGAAAAGACTTAATGACCATGGTAAAAATTGGAGACATGTTTACAAAGCTTTGGTACTTTTAGAGTACCTTATAAAAACTGGTACAGAAAAAGTTGCACAACAATGTAAGGAAAATATTTTTGCCATTCAAACGTTGAAAGGTAATCATACAAAAAAAAACAATTATTATATAGTTATTTAGTTCAACTTTATTAATTTTGTTTTTATATTTGAATAATTGATAATTTTATATATTTTCTTAAAAGATTTCCAACATATGGAAGGACATAAAGATCAAGGTATTAATGTGCGAGAGAAAGCAAAACAGTTGGTGGCCTTATTAAAAGATGATGAAAGATTAAAAAATGAAAGAGCTAGAGCATTGAAGGCCAAAGAGAGATTTGCTCAAACAGTTAGTGGTTTTGGAAGTGATGGTTTAGATACAATGTCACCTGTAAGCAGCGATGTAAGTTTCACTTAAATTTAAATTATTATGATTTTACAATGATAAATAAATAAATAAACAAATAAATGTATAATAATATATTGTTTCAGTTTCAAGATTGGGAGCCTTGCAATTTGACCGAATCAGCATCACGACGTAAGGGGAAATTTGTATTAGTCATAAATTATATTTTGGATTCAATTTTGTTGAATTTAAAGTTAATTTTATTAAAGAAGTTTTCAAAGGATCGTTATAGATATTTTTCTTCTTTATTAAATTTCATAAAAGATAAAAAATTTATTAAATTCTATACATATCTATATAACAAAATTTGGATATCTCTAAAATAGCTGAATTAGAAGCAGCTAGACCGCAAACAGTGGGTGAAGAAGAACTACAACTGCAGCTAGCACTTGCTATGTCAAGAGAAGAAGCAGAACAAGAGGAACAACGACGGCGAAGTGATGACGTTCGACTACAATTAGCACTAAGTCAAAGCCAGCAGGATTTCAAGTATGTGTAAATAATTTATTAAATGTTTATGTTGTATATATGAAAAAGAAAATATTTTATAAAATAACATTCGTCATTTTTAGAGCACCACAAACTGAAAAGCAAAGTCATATGCTTGATTTGCTAGATGTAAATCTAGGTGAAGCAAGTGGCTCTTCTGCGCAGAATGATCCTTGGAGTATTCCAGTTACAGCTCCACCTCCAAGACCTCAGGTATTTCATTATATTATACATACTATAGTACTATAAAGCACTATTCATTTATTTAAAAAGAAAAGTGATATTTATTAAAGTTAAGTTTCCCAGATAAGTTTGTTTTTTTCAGTTGAATTATGTTTGATTGTGGTATAGAACCAAGTAATTGCTTCCTATATCATAAAAATTTTATGTATATAGTTTACTTATTATTTAAATACATTAACTTGAGTTCACGTTATATATGTATATATCTTTATTGCATGGTAATGCAAATCACTTAATTTTTGCATGTTGCACATCAGTCCTTGGATTTGTCTCAATTTCGTAAATGTAAGGTACGTTTTACGAAAATAAATAGACTGATGTAGTAGATTTTAATACATAAAAAAAAATAAAAAAAATAAATAAAAGAATAAAAAAAAAAGATTATTATTTGTTTTCATTTGATTTTATAGACTCAAAATGATCCTTGGAGTATACCAACAACAAGCAATAATTCACCTGCAATAGATCCATGGGCTCCTGTCACATCTCAAAAGCAGGGTAAGTTTTTGATAATATATTGATTTTTATTTTATATTTATATTATTGATTAGCTATTATGATTATTCATTTTAGCTGTTGTTAACGATCCATGGAAAGCACCTGCTCCATCTCCATCAGCAGTAGTTACTCCTCGTTCGGCAGATCCTTGGTCACCAGCACCAATTGCCAATGAACCTGAGGCATCTAAAATTGAAGTAATACTTCATTACTTTTTAATTATCATAGAAAACAGTATTATTTTATTAAATAACTATAAAATGATATTTAGGTTCGCCAAGATAAAATATTATCTTCATCTCCAACCTTCAATAATCCAACTTTAACACAAAATATTGGTTTTACGGCGCAATCACCACAAAACATCGGTTTTAATTTACCAAATCCCGCAAATGCTGCCTTCGGTACTATGAGCAACGGCTTTAAGGATCCTGGCTCTACTTTTAGCAATTTTCCTTCTCAAACGCATGGTAGTTCGGCTACAAGTCCATTGAGCGAGCTTGATGAATTTGATGTAATCAGTCAGAGGAACAAACTTGGAGGTGGTTCACAAGCTACAAACAATGGTAATTATATAATTATATTATTGACATTGTAAATAATGTTCACATTTTTGTAATGTATGACATATATTTCAGGGACTACATTATCTTCAGATCCATTTGATTTAAGTGGTATAGGTGAATCTTTACCTCAGAGCACTGGTGCAATTAAAAAGACGCCACAATCGTTTCTTGGTGAAAATTCTGCTCTTGTAAACTTGGATAATCTTGTCAGCACTTCTACAATTAAAACAGTTACTCCAACACCAACAGGTAATACCATATTTAAACAATGTGAATAATAATTCACGAACGTGTTCCTTTAAAATTATTCCTAATATTGCTTTTATTATAATGCATACACAAATATCCTTTCAGGTAATTGAAATCATGAAAAATTAATATTTTACTTCATAACACATTCTATGTCTGCAAAATAGCATTTCATTGGAACTAAATTCGTGAGTATTAACAAACTGACGAATGATCGCACGAGTGCATGATTCAAGTTTGTTATCATGTTAATATGAGTTTACTATGTTTGCATTTTTATGATTTATACAATTTTGTAGATAAAAACTTTTGCGAATTTCAATTTCCTTGGGTTTTTAAGAATTCAATTTATTTTGTAATCGAACAATAATCGATGATTTTTTTGCATGCATTTTTTATGAAACCAATGTTTTATTTATCATGTAATACTAATTTATATTAGCAGACTTGAAAGTGTTATAAATATTAATTTATACTACAAAGCACACATTGATAATATTTAAAATTATTAATAAAAAGCTAATATGTAATGCTTCAAATTCTATACTTATCAATCTTAATTCTGTAGTAAATGTTAGTATCATAGGAATCTATCATATTTTATTTGTATTAATATCTTATATTTTCATCTAATATGATCTAATTACAGTGCCCATATCATATTCAGCGAATCCATTTGCGACAACAGCAGCATCATCTCATGCTCCAACTAACCAGATTCGACAGGACCCTTGGGCTGTAAATACTAATGCTAAAGCTAATCCATTTTTATCGTAGCCTGATGAAAATTATTGAAAAGTTAGCTGAAACCGCTATTACTACAGCGAATATAATAGTATTTGAGATTTTATTAGTAACCCTGTACGGTATAAGTTTAAATTTAGAGTAAATTATGATTTGAGTTGCAGATGCAGAATATAGAAGGAGCGAGTAATAAAAACAATTTTATTGTTAATAATTAAAGCTATTATCATGTTATCAAAATGTTTTAAGTAAAAAAACTAATTATTGAAAATTTTTTTATTATTACTGTTTATATTTATTCATAATGCTTTCCATAGCATTTCGTATAACTAACTAACTTAGTTATAAATGATTTTATTGCAGTTATATCATTTGATATACTATTTCACAAAATATTTTGAGTCTTAGGAAAAACAAAATATAACATTTTAGCTTGAAACGCTTAAAAGCTCCCAAGGTAACAACTAGATTTTATACATACTCTTTTCATATATAGAATATTTTTTAAGTATGAATCCATTCTCAGACAAAGATTACTCACCGATATATTCTTTCGGTAAAGATGTAAAATAATAATGATATCGAGATCATTTCATTTATTTTGTATTTATATACGTGTTTTCTATAGTAAATGAGATCGTGAGACTGTAATCGTAATTTGCAAAAATAGATTATATCGAACAGGGTTCAGTTTAAGCCAGTCTTGAATGTTATATGGATTATGATCTACAAAATTCATATTATGGCTTGCTTTTTAGCAATAAGAAAAATCAAGAATACAAATAGTGCCTGTGTTAAAAAGATGTGTGCGCATTTGTTGTTAAATATGATCAGCCGTGTGCTAATAATTTTGTACAATGTCTAATACTTTACACAGTACATGTTACAAATAATTGAATGATCATCATGTTCTGTAATCTTGGTAATATAAATCGGTTTTTATATTTTCCAACTTTATACACCTTAATTATTGACTAAATATACACGTAAAATATACTGTTTATGATTTTAATATGATGATAATGGCATACATCTGTTTTGTGCAAAGTAGTTTTACAAAAATTAAAATTAATCACTGCTATTAAAAGTAAAACGTTTCAGCAACCAGTTGCAGATGATGATTAAATTGTCAGGCAATTTTATAACTGCAAGAATTTGCAAATTTGTTAAGATGAGAGTATATATATTTATTCATTTATTTGTCTTACGATGTGATGCAATTTGCGTTTTCTTATGTATTAAAATATTTACTGTTGTACCTTAATTCATGTAAAACAAATTATAAATATGTTATGCTATACCGTTCCACGATCAAATTTTTTTTCTTAAAAGCTCTATATTAATATTATCATTAATATTAATGTGAAAGTTTTTTTTAATACTTAATCTCATATGTTTTTGCAGAAGAATTTGCTGAGTTGCATTAAAAATATTATTTATTTTTCTTATAATAATTTAGTTGCGTCACAGTAATATATAGTGAATTCAATATTGTTATTTAATTTTAATAAGAGATTAAATGTGAAAATGTTCTTATTAATATCTGTATATAGTTATAGATTGTTTTTCTCTTGTATGATATTAATTGAATATTAATTCAATATACTTTTAAAGATGGCATTCCTCCTTTGTGTGAACTTGGCATTTCTTTTTCAAAAACTACAATAAGACATATTCGGATTTTTACACAAAGATACATATTTTTATTAAAACTGTATATTACAAATTGGCAAAGTATACTAATTAAAAAATTACATTATAAGTGACTTATTTTAAATAAGTCAGAAATACTTGCATGTTGCACAGACTTCTGACTGTTAATTAAATAATATTGTGCTATTCAATATTAAGTAAGTCAATAATTTTTAATAGTCCCGTGCAGTTTTAAACAAATTTGCTTGTACCATAGAATTTGTATATTTAATATATATTTTTTCAGAAGTTCGCTAGAAAAGATGAAGTATTTGGAAAATGCTCTAAAAATTATTTGTTGGAATAAAAAATAAAGAATACGATTCTTTTTATACAATATTCAATGTTTTGTATTGAATAGGCTTGCTTTGATTATTACATTTATATATATATCTATTTTATATAGTAATAAGATAATTTACATTTCTTCATATATTTATGATGAAATTTATAATATTTGATATGAAAAGTATTTATGTTTCAGTCTTGCTATATCAAACAATTCGAATATAACTTCATTTTTTATGCGAACACTGGATTACTTTTCAGTTTTAGAGCTACTGTAAGTTCAAATAACTTCAAAGAAAACTTATTAAAAAAATATATATTATATATTTTTTAGTAGATTATTATATTATTAATACTATAAAATGAATAAATGTAAAAATTTTTAAGTTTTCTCAATAAATATATAATTTCAACATTTTTTCCTATTTTCTTCACAAAAAATTTCTATTCAATTTTTAATAAGAACTTCATATTTGCATGTCAATTTAATTTAACAATAATGTTATATATTTAAAAAGTATTAAATAAAACAAAAACAATACATGCAATATCATAATACTTCAGGTAACTTTTATAAATTCATTATAAGTATTATTTTTTTTATAAACAATTTATATATGAAATCAATGAACAGATGTAATTCTGTTTGATATTGCACAATTAAAATATTTTAAAGAGAAGCTTCCACAGAAGAATTTGTTATTGGTGGCAGAAAATGAGATTTTACTTGGCTATGTAATTGTGCTACTTCAGGATCTTCTCGTTCTAATTTTCTAATTAATTGAGCAAATTGTACAGTACCTATATACAAGAATATGATAAATAATATATTTATATATTATCTATTATTAGTCAAAATATTTTTGACAACAAACCTTCTCGTCCTTCTAAAAATCCATAATTTTTAATAACGTCCATTTGTATTTGAACTACAATTGGAAAAACAAACTGCATCATTTTTAACATTTCATTGCCAGAATTCTCTTTTACTTCTGCAATTTTTTGAATATTTTGTGGCGCATTTAAAGCTGCTAAAATATCAGTCAACGCAGCTGCAATAAAAAATAAACAAATAAAATATTAAAATATTTGTATTATTAAAATTAGTTATAATATTTAAATACCTTTAGCAGTTTCTACTGTGAAATCAGGTATACTTGTCATCATGAAAAATTAACAAATATGTTTCATATATTCTATACTTCCTAAATAAACATTTACAATTCACTGTATAAATAATAGCAAAGAAGTAAATATCCTTGCAAACTGTTTTCCAAGAAAATAGGCTACTAACACGTACAACTTTGATGCACTTCTGTATTTTTTGGTACAGGTAATGTGAAAAATTATCTACAGTCGGCAACATTGTTCAATTTGATAATATGGACATATTAACGACCTCTATATTCAAATTTTTACATTCATTTTAACAATTTTTTCGAAATTAAAAAATCTGTAAAATATTATGCTATATTTTTTTCATTTAATTGTTCAGTTCTTTTCTTATTCTTTGTCATTCCTAAATATTAAGGTAAATCAATATTTTAAAAACAAAAATGTAATATTAACAATTTAGAAGAGAGATTTAATTATAATTTATTGATTCGAGTATAAATTTTTTAAATTTACACTTCTTTTTCTTCTTTTATTCTTCAAAAGATTATCTGTATTTTTAAATTAAAATGTTCATTGATTTTGTATACTTTATAAATCGATACAAAATAATATATATGCGAGTAATATTATATTATAGTGTATATATAATATAAAGATCACTTACCGATAAATATTCCGCAAAATACATGTGTATGTGTGTTGATCCTGTAGTCTTTTCGTACAAACATAAGTAAAACAAGAATTGCATTTATATTGAATTTAATTGAAGATAATAGATATCTAAAAATGATATATATTTTTGTTATTTATTGGTATTCTATATGATTTATGCATATATAAAAAATATATATATATAATATAGATGCACATACTATGCTAGTTAATTGCAGCACTGAATGACCTCATTTCTTTGCATACGGATTCTATCGCAAGTAGTACTCGAATCAGTGACAAACATAGAATTTTGAAGAGAATGAATGTTTCTACATTTTATTTAAATTTAATTTAATTTTAAAAGTAAAATATGAAAAAAAAATGTTCGATTTAATCATTCTTTTCTAAATTCATAATAATATAACGGTAAAGTATATAATATTTAACCTTGCATGTTTTAATAATACATTTTATTGATTTTATTATTTACATTATTTAATATAATATTTTCTCTGAATTAATCAGAGTCTTTTTAAATTTATCAATACAAGATCAACGATTCTATAATAATATTGAATAATATTTTTTATTTTCGATATATTTTGTTCAAAATTCGGATAATCCTTTGGGAAAATTTAGAGGGAATATATATATAAAAATTGCAAAAGTCTTCGGATATTTTTCAATTCATTGAATTATCTCGTTTACATCAGAGCGCAGGTATTGCATCGCGCAAACTCCACCCTTGCAGCATCCAGACCATCCGAGAGATTTTCCCTCAGTGCCAAAGGTCCACACATTGCAAGTGGAACGGAGAAATACGAAAGTGTACTTCTGTGTGTTTTTAACAGGTAAAATCATCCGGTTTGCCTTTCAATTGATAATGATTTCAGAAGTTTACGAAAGATAAAGGAGGAGCATCGCTCTGTCCTGTTGATCTCTTTGAAGTGGACGTGAGAGACAAGAGCTACTTTCCTAATGGCAGATCACGATAATATTTACGACGATGAGGTAATTAATTATCTTAAATTAAGTACTCTCATTTAATTATTTTCTCATTGCTTCATTTCAATGATCGTCAGTATCATTCAAAACTAATGTTACCAAACTTTCGATAAGATAAGAGACATTTGCGATTTTTGATATTATAATAACGTTATTGAGCTTCAAATAATTTTTTATTACAGCAAAATTAAACAATTTACATTTTTATAATTAATGTTACCCTACGTAGAGAATCAAGAATATTTGGCATTATTTCATATTTATTATATATAAATAATTGTTTTTTAATAATAAAACAGATCGCGCTAAAAGTCAAATATTTTACAATTAGTAAAAGAATTCAATGGAGTTGTGTGTGTGATGAATAAAATCTTAATGTAAAATCTAAATGGATTCGTTTCATCAGGTCACACTCGTTCTGATCTTTTAAAATAATTATAAATACACGAATATAAATACACATGCATATATCTAAACATACATATATCTATGATGAAAAGTATAAATGAAAAAGATTTTGTAAGAAAAAAAATTACTCGATTATTTAAACTTTTAGTATAGATGAATCAAGATTGATTTAATATAATATAAACTAATTTAAATTATATTTTTATATTAATATAAAAATTTTTAAAAACAAGAAAAATTTGAATTTTCATTCGATACATTTCGTTCAAATTTAAAATTTTATACTTGAAAATAATTTTTCCAAAATTCCATGTTCTCTGTGATGACAGCAAGTGAACATTTATGCGTGAGTTGACTGACGTACAATTCTGTACTGGCCCTTCTTCTATCGATTAAGCTACAGCAGCTGACTAACATACATACTAAACTCGACTGAACTCTAACTTCATATATTAGTTTTCCTTATGAATATTATATTATATATTTATTATTTTCTCGAAAAATACGAACCGCAATCACACCTGTTAGTACGTAAGCAATAAATCAATAAAGCTATAATTGTCTACCTCTTTTGTCTACTTCTATATTTAATATGAATAATTTTTAAAAATTTCCTTGACATTATAAAACAATATTTTAAAAAATTAGTTAAACAAATGTGTGTGTAAATATTTATTTTTAATATTTCAAATAAAATATTATTAACATCTCTGATTATGTATGTGTGTGTGTTATACTCGTGTAAATTTTCTCTCTCTCTCTCTCTCTCTTTCTCTTTCGTTTAACAATAGAAATATTAGTAAGAGCCTTTGTCATAGGAGCTAGTGTCGGCTAATCCAAATCAAAGGAACTGGCGTGGGATTTTAATAGCTTTGCTCGTGATCGTTGCGGTTTTAGCCCTTATTGTCACATCAGTTGCTTTACTCACACCACCTGATGAAGGGCCCAGAGTTCGCGGTACACGTTTACAACTCTCCGAGGTTGTATATCCGTTTATTTGTATTAATGATCGTATAGAATAATATTTATAAAATCTTAAATTATTATTTTATAGCTACTTTCGGGTGAATTGTCTCCGTTGCTCTTTAATGGATCCTGGGTGAGCAATCGTCATATATGCTATAGGGATTTTTCAGGTGGTATTTCTTTATTGGATGCATCTGATGCGAATTTAACATCGCGTAGTTTGATGTCAAAGGAAACATTTGTAAGTTTCAATGAAAAATTAAAATATTATCATTATAAATAAAATCAAATATATATTTATATAAATTATTTGTTTTTTATTGTTAAACACTTACATTACAGAGAAGATTAAATCCTGCCAAATTCTCGCTATCACCGGACCACAAATACTTGTTACTTGCTCAAAATATGAAAAAATTATTTAGATATTCTTATTTAGCTCAATATATAGTCTATGACGTGAACACACAGTTAGTATGAGTTATATATATATTACACGTCCCTACATTATTATAATTATAATTTGATCGAAAAATTATCAAGGACTCTCTGATTACAGAGATACAATACCATTGACACCTTATCCTGAAAAGGAGGTTCATCCTTATCTGCTGTTAGCTAAATGGACACCTCGTGGCCATGGACTCGTTATGGTACAAGATTATGATATTTATTATAGAACGGGTCCTTTGAGTAACATAGGTTATCGCGTAACTGATACTGCAGTACCTGGAATTCTATCTAATGGTCTACCAGATTGGTTATACGAAGGCAAATCTTCTTTCATTTAATCTAATCATAAAGTGTTCATGCCAATTTTGATTTTTATAAACGGAGAATTTCAATGTCTATTTACAGAAGAGATTTTACATAGCGCCGAAGCAATCTGGATGTCACCCGATGGTCATATGATGCTTTATGCATCATTTAATGATTCGGTAGTTGAAGAAATGCATATTCCTTGGTTTGGAGAAGAAAACAGGGCTTTGTATCCTGATATACGATCTTTGAGATATCCTAAGGTATATTAATCTTCTTCAAGAGTTGAAGTATGCATCATTTCTTAATAGCAACGTTACAATAATTTTTGTATTAAAATATTTTATATCGAATTAATTAACATTTTTTTTTTATAATTATTATTACACATGCCCTTCTTTTTGCGAAATATTCTTGTTACATTATAAACCGTGAAAATGCAAATAGAATAAAATAATATTTTGTAGCCAGGAACTCCAAATCCTTTCGTGCATTTATACGTCGCTGATCTTGCTGATCCAAAGAATATTCATACGAAAGTAGTAAAACCACCCCCTGTCATCGAACACGTGTGAGTTTACTTATCAGCGGTTTAGACAAATTTTGTATAAATTTTATACAGCTTTTTTCATAACATTTATATAACACATTGTAATACTTCATTTCATTTATTATAGAGATCATTATTTTACTACTGCTTCCTGGGTATCATTAACGGAAGTTTGTATATCGTGGTTAACCAGAACTCAAAATCTCTCAGTCGTAACAATTTGTAAAAGTCCTATGTGGCATTGTCAGGTTTGTAACTATTTAAATTGTATTTAATATTAAAATAAACTTAACATATATTTCTAAATAATACAATATTTTGATAGGAGATACAAAGAATAAATAGTGATGAACACGGATGGGTTGATACACCACCAGAGGCACCACTGTTCTCAGCTAATGGCACCAGTTACATATCGATCAGTCCTGTATCAGATGGACATGCTGGATCTTTTAAGCATATTGTATTAGTAAATGTGCTTCGAAAGATACAGACATCCTTGACACATGGACGATTAGAAGTTGTTAAAATATTAGGATGGAATAAAGTCAACAATACCATGTATGTGAACGAAGAGTTTGGAATATATTAGTAGCTACACATTTAAAATAATTTAAAATCTACTAAATTCTTTCAGATATTTCATAGGTATACCACCAATGCGTCCTGGACAAAGACACTTATATCGGGTCAGTTCACTTATACCTCAGGATGCTTCTTCGCATCCTGCAATTTGCATCACGTGTAACGCTCAATCTACTAAAATAAATAACGATCAAAGCAGCTATCACACAACATTTTCGGATCGTCGTAATGGATGGATGGGAAATAATTTTCACGAGGAATATGATGTACAAACGGAAAGTCCCGAAGATAAGGAACAGCGACGTGCAAAAGAAAAAGCGAAAAAGCAGAAATCAAAAACTTCGCACGCTTCTAGTGAGTAAACAACACTTGTTGCGATTTTCATAACGCGTGCGTTCTATACTATTTCTTCATTATCACAGTGTATTGTATTCTTCAATAATTGTCATGCATTTTTCTAATGTTAATTATAGAAGTAATTTCAGTTATATGGAAAGGTAGAATTAACTATCATAGTTAGTACTCTGCTGCACATTTACACATAACATATATCCACGGACATATAGAATATACAGGGTGTATCACTTCACACGATTATTAATTATATACATTTTTTTTAATCATCCTAGTCCCCTTCTTTTTTATTATTTATTTCATTTATTATACAAATACCTTTTAATTAATTATTAACATAATTTATTAATAGCAATTACACAATAGTTTCATACGAATATCAATTAAAAGTAAGTTTGGTTTTTTTTTATTTTGTATTATTTGTATAAATTCTCAACTGAATATACTTACCAAACATATTCAATAGAACAACAATACTGCTCTTCCACTCTTGCATACTACTTTGCATGAATGCTTCTACCCCGATTTATTGGTTTTTGATTATTTATGTCACGATAATTGTTGATTTTTCATCCACTGTATACAACCCTTTTTTAAGGATTTTTATCTCAGGAATCCGCCATTTGAAGCTGACATACTAGCTGCGGTACACCCAATATATTCTACATTAGCATGCTTCGAACATCTGGAATATTTTGAATGATGGGTAAGCTGCTCTATAATGCATCGAATAGTGGAATAAAAGAATGCAGACTACTATTCTAATTAAGGAGCAATCGCACTTCTTGCTTATGACAGTCCATAAATATATGTATAAAATTCAATTTTTATTGCACTATTACTATTCAATTTCTTTTCCTATCTATTTTCTATTTCGTGTCAGTGCGTGATCTATAAGTATAGTAGGATTCCTTTTCTTAAGAGGGAAGCGACGAAGCCAGTCCCGAATAGTTATGCATAAAAACGCAAGTTAAATATCGAAACGAATTAAATCAAATTAATATTATTTCACGTATATTTTTTCAGATTCAGAGGAACCACCTTGTCAATATCATCACGCCATTTTTCCGTCTTATGGATTGGACTACTTCGTTCTAGAATGTCTTGGTCCTGGGATACCTACGATCTCACTTTATAAAACTGATACGCCAATGCCACGATTGTTGAGTGTTCTACAGAATAACACAGTGTTACGTGTTAGTGTTCTCTATTATTGTTCTTTATTAATATTTACCGACTATATATAAATATTTTTATTAGGAAAAAATATCTAAGATCGCTCTTCCACAAGTGAAAACGTTCCCGGTACAGATAAGTGGTGGTTACAACGCACAAGTAAGATTACATTTACCACCTGGTTTGCGAGAAGACGAAATCACGCGTTATCCTCTAGTTGTACAGGTGTATGTATATCAAATAAGCTTAAAGAATAAATAGTATCGCATGCCGATATATTTGTATTTATAAATGTGTAGACATGGAGCACCAGGATCTCAGTTGGTGACGGAAATGTTTAAAATCGACTGGAATACATATTTAGCCAGTTATAAGGGTATTATCGTGGCCCAGATAGATGGTCGAGGTAGCGGCGGTCAAGGATACAAACTACTTCATGAAGTTTATTATAAGCTTGGTACTGCCGAAGTAGCTGATCAATTAGAAGTTACGGAGTAGGTTTCGAACTTTTATATCTAATTTTTGCAAAAAATACTTTTATCATTTTTCTTAAATGTATTTTTTCACAAATCTCTGTTTTAGATATTTGAGAGATTCGTTACACTTTATAGACAAACGGTGCGTCGCAGTTTGGGGTTGGAGTTATGGTGGTTTCGTTGCAACATTAGCTCTAGCTCATCCCGGACAAAACGTTTTTCATTGTGGAATAAGCGTGGCACCTATCGTTTCGTGGAAACTCCACGGTATAAAAAAAAAATATTCGACAATATTTGTTTTTGTATTTTTTTTTTTTTTTTATTACGATTAAAATATAGACAATGTGTTTATTTTATTTATAAAGAAAATTTATTATCGTCTATCAACATAATTAATCATATATGTCTATCGATGTATATCATAAGAGATTACTAAGTTTGGCGCGCTGTTTCGTAAATAAATTTATTACAGATTCTGCTTATGCCGAAAGATACATGGGATTACCAAACGTTACTTCTAATTACAAAGGTTACGCTGATTCCGATGTTTACAACAAAATCGAGCATCTACGTGATAAAATGTTTTATTTAGTTCACGGAACTGCAGACGATAACGTTCAATTTCAACAGTCCATGGCACTTGCGCGTCACCTTGCGAAAAAGGCCATTCTCTTTCGACAACAGGTATTCTCACAACCTTTCGACTGTAAAGGCATTCTTTATTTTGTTCATCGATAATTTCGTATCGTATACCAGTCGATATCTGTTGATTATCTGATTGCTATTGACAGTAATTACAATGCAACAAGAAGCTGATCGGACACGATATGGAAAGAAAAAATCGTGGATTCTTATATTTGGGTATCAAATATGTACATACATAAAATTTAAAAGTAAGTTCTTTAAATATCGCCTATTGCATATTTATTGCATGGTGGTTACGCTTTTTGCAGTCAACTTTCTTTTATACAAGTAATAAAGCACATAGCCGGAGTCATGTGTGGAAAACCTACTTATTACTATATATTTTAAACAGTGTTTAGGAGAGATTAAAGTGATTATAGAAATCAAAGTCTACGTATGTAATCAATAGCTTTGACATAAAATCACGGAATCTAAATCAGCAATAAATTGATAGTAAAATGACATGAAATGAAAACAAAACATTTTCGTAATATACGTACTGTATCTATATAGACAATCGTAAAAGAAATATAAAGATTACGTATTTAAGTTTGTATATATAGATATGTATATTAAATTTATCATAAAATTGATATAATATTGAATAAGAACTCAATAGATATCGGCTGTCGCTTAAAAAATAACTTCTATGAACATTAACCTTTAGATACGTTCTACTTTGAATCACACGTATTATTTATAAACTATTGATATAGCTCTCGAGAAAAGATATTATTCACCGATGAAAAAATATTTGTGAATAAAAATTATTTTTCATTACATACTCTATACTTTGTTACGTGTGATATACATAAGTTGACGTATCTAAAATTTAAATCCAAATGTACAAAATGTTCTGTTATTTTGTCTTTTTCTTTACTACATTAGGTGTATCCAGATGTGAGTCATACTTTAACGGGCGTAAAAAAACACTTATACTTATCCATGGCTCAGTTTTTGGAAGACTGCTTCCAAAAGCAAATACCTTCAGATACGAAAGCGGGACTTGGCAGTGGTGGTTCCGGTGCTTAAAAAAAAGAAATATACATAGGTACTTACATGATAAGTTGTATAAAAAAAAAAAAAAAGAAATGACATGTGCAATCTATATACATACATTTTCCTAAATCTGTTCAGTTCGGCAGAATAATTACAGAAGAAAAGGTAAAATTATCGTATAATTTTATACTCTGTATCGATATATTGTGTAACAAAAAAAAAGAAGAAAAAAAAAAAAGATTAAGAAAAAATTACTTACAATCAATGCGCTTAGATAATAACAACGTAAACATTGCATTTGGCTTTAAGCCTACCAAAGTGTTCGTCTCGATTGCACAAACTGTCCTTCATTTGTCTTATTAAATTTATTGGTTATTGAGTGCATTATCTTATATTATTTATAGTTAGAAAAAATCGAATTCTAAATTCTTATGCAATATTCTATATAGATAACAATAAATACTGGCAAATAATGGAATACAAATTGACTTAAGCACCTCATCAAAGTTGTTTGTAACACTACATTTTTGAACAATAAAAAACGTTATTTGCTCAATGATTTGCCTTCCATTGTTTAGTATTTCTTTAATAATATATTAATTGTTGATAATGTTTGAGAAATGCATATGCAGCGGAGATCAAATATAATTAATATAAATAATATAAATGTACAGGCTACGTTAATAAAATATTCATTACCTTTTCACTATGCGACTAGTGACTAATATACTGTCATAAAAAGTCACAAGTCTGGAATCGATTCAATGAATTTTTTATTCGAACATCTTCCAAGATGCAATAACATATGATTCTTTAGATTCGTTGGTTTACTAAATCCACGATTACAAATTTGACACCTAAATGGCCATAATCCGTTATGAACGTACATGTGACTCTTCAAATCTCCAGGCGTTGGGAATGATTTAGAGCATTGCAAACATTTGTGCGGTTTCTCCTGTAATATAGAATTTTTAATTATCAATATTGGGATAATATTGGTTGTCCCCGAACTGATTACCGTTAAACTTATGCTTTATTTAAATTATTTACAAAAATTAAGTAACTCTATCCATTTATTTATTTATAATGTTATTTTTATTTAACATTTGTATTATTCTTTGTGTCATTAATATATTTTTTATGTATTTTTTTTTAAGAATATATTTAAGTTATTAATGCATTTACATAAATTATTATGATTAGGATACTTTAGATATTAAGCTCCTACCTTGATGTGAGTCATCCTATGATAATAAAGATTCGAAGATGCCGTAAATTTTTTGCCACATACGAGACATTGATGAGGTTTTTCACCGCTATGAATACGCTTGTGTGTATTTAGAGAACTCGATGTCGAGAAACCTTTACTGCATACCATACAAACGTGTGGTTTCTCTCCTTTAAATGAACATGAATATATTGTACAACATAATATAATACTTATTATTTGTTTATTACTATTACTAGTAATTTAATGAAGAAAACAATGATTATTTATTCTCCCAATACATCAGATATATATCGTTTATATTGATGTTCTTACCGGTATGCGTTCTAGTGTGCCTTTTTAAGAGTGATGGACGATCGAAAGATTTACCGCATACTTCGCATGGCAGAAGTACTTTGTCACCTCTCTTTATAGTAGTTAAAATACTACAATCAAGATGATCACCAACTAATGATAGTGTAGATGATGATGATTCCTCGGACGTTGATTCATATTCATCAGGTTCATAATAAGAGTGCTGTATCGATGGTGATATATGTTGAGAAAGTAAAGCCATGGATAGATCCAAAGGTGATTCTAAAATATCGATAATCACGAAATATTTTTGATTTAATTTTGGAAACATTAAAATGTCTTGCAAAAAATGTTGAACCCACCATCTACGATACTATCGATCAAACATCTGTAAAGTGCAGATCTCATACACATATCGTGAGAAATAAAAATAAAATCTGGATATGTTACTGGTGGGAACCAAGCTACTAATTCAGTATCTGGCTGAACATCTTTGATAACTTCAAAGATCGGCTCACCTAAAATAACATTACGAATCATTGAACAATTTTAAGAAAATATAATTATTATTTATTAAGGTACATAGAAATAGTAATGAATGAACGCATGACTTACCCTTTACCTTCGTCCCAATAAGATTAACTTGTTCGTCATCTGCTTGAATGATATGAAGAAACCTTATCCAGTTACACTGACGCTTGTTAAGATTGTAGTTCGAAAAGACTTCGTCATAGCAACCGTACTCGCGTCTGATCTAAAAGCGGATCGCTTTAATAGGCAGCTAGCAGCTCGTCATAGTACGCTAAGAGGGTAGCGAATGTAATCGCACGGGAAAAACGATATCAAAGACTTATCAACGTTTCTTCCAATTGCAATATGAGAAATATTTAAGAATGCTCGAATAATAACTGCAGCTGTTTCGATTTATTATATGAGAGATAATTCGATAGATATAACTATAAACGTTTTACAATTTTTTATTCGGATCTGTGCATAATTATATTACTCTAATAATCTGTTTTTATAGAGAATGAAAAGATGCGAAAAAGAGAAAAAAAAACAAACGGCAGACGTATACTTACGTCGTTGTCATCGAGAAGAGAGTACAGATCAATCTTATCGAATCTAATTGATCCCTGAAACGGATAGATAAGTGTGCCCAATGGAATGAAGACATTAGACCACACCGATATTCGTAGATTTGTGACAAACGAGTCCGAATCATTTTTATAAACATTTTTACATGCAGATTGATCACTGGCAAGAACTAACGAGAACTCTTTCGGTATCAGTACGCAAGTTTCCATAACAGAAAACCCACTAAATATGGACTGAAGAATTTCACCACTGTTCAAATTTCTACGGTAAACACTTCACGTAGAAGTTCTTCACGCGCAGAGAGTGATTTCCTGTTTTGTAGAAAACGAAAAATAGCTAATATCTTCCAACCAGCTGAATTCTTTTTACTTTAACTGGATTGATTATAATAACTCGTAAGACTTATGCTGGTATTTTGATTATTCTACATATACATTTATACAAGATCGTTGATGGATCAACATAATCAGCAATTTCTTAAAATGATCTGTGTTCATCGAGTCAAATCATCAAATAATTAATTAATATTATTAAATTCGTTATTCACTGTGTAACTCGAAATAATTTAAATTCTTTTGAATATTTATCTATTTTGGAATCACTATACCAAATCGTTTTAATTACAATAAAACGTTAACTCGTAGAAACTCGGATGACGTTCGAAGCGCGAAGAATCAGGTCGTTCGTTATGTTAGGTGCAAGACCCTTGGTTGACTGGCTGAGATTAACCAACTGATCTTGACCTTGCGACGGCTTACCAGCATTTGCTACCGAATGGGTAGCCCTTCCCCTTCTCCATTTCTTTTCCCACCCATCGTTCGTCCTGGCCCCTTTGGTCCAGATCAACGGCGTAGTCGCAAATTAGTCTTCGCAAATGTCTTCATTTTTGTAAGCTATTTGGTAATCATTAAAATTCTTACATGCATACTATTTTTATCTAACAAAAAGATACAACGTTTAACAAAATTGTTAAAAGTTATATCTACCAAGTTCTAACGCAACCTTAATGCAACGTAACTTAGATCATAAACAGGTATTCATGGAGACTTCAACGCCTACATACTTTCCGTACAACATGTTATACATAGACAGAAAGATGACACTGTACAAAAAAATAGCTGATATAAGGAACTTGTTAGAAGAAATATCTACGTATGTGTGTAGTGGATAGTTAGAATGTAATTGTTCACCGAGTTGTAGTCGATACTAAATTAGTTCGATGTATACAAGTTAAAAGTTAAGATGGTAGAAAACTTATTATTATCAAATACAATATCATAATTAAATATCTTTGAAATGAATCTTGGAATTATTAGAAAAACCTTATTCTCATATTGAGATGTGTAAAAAAGGATGAATTAAAAGTTGTACGTAAGAAGTATGAAAAGTAATTGTATAAAATTTTCTGAAAAAGTCAGATGATGAAGACTACGCCGTTGGAGTTTTGCCCCACTATGTTCGTTGAGCCGCAAGTGTGGCATGATTGTAGAGTGAATGTAAGTATCCTTCGCCGACACAAGGAAGCCGGCCGGTCCTCCTCGTGGTCTTCTTCGTCTTTCCAGCATCATCTACAGTACCGCTTAAAAGAGAACACACGTGCGTGAATGGGCACCTGTCTCTGCCTGCTTCTGCCCATCTCTCTCTTCGTGATTATCCGCTTCACCTTGCCTCCCTACCGATTCCAGTTAACAGGGCCGTTTCTTTTCTCTCTTTTCGTTACTCCTCTTTCAAGTCTGTCCTACCAACGTCTTCGCCAACCTGCCTCGCCTTGCCAATGTTCTATCATCCTTTCTCACTCTTTCTTTTTCTCTTTCTCTTACTCTTTATCTGCTCACCCTTCAGCTCCTTTCTCTTTCCCCACCCTTATGCATCTCTCTCTTTTCTTCCTTCCTCTTCGTTCTCCTCGTTATCGAGTCCGTAGCGCATTCTTTTATTCATCCATCAGGGTGGCTTCGGCAGTTGTAATAGGGTGAAAACTGCTGAAGATCGCATAAATAAAGAAGCGCGCCGAATATTTACTACGACTCTCCCCTTTACCAATGTATGCACGCGAGTGCAACTTTTAACTCTTTTTCTTTTCGTTATTCCTTTCCTTCTTTTTTCCTTCTCTTTTAACTTTTATTTTTTCTCTCTTTCTTTCTTCCTTTCTTTCCTCTTTACCTTTTTCTTCGTGTACAGCGATCAGCTTCAAGTGTGTAAGGCCTGAGAGCGAATCTTCGCATCCTTGCTTCTTCGTCGCATTTATTATGGCAAAGAATACGTTCCCGAAACAGTATATATGAACTTACGAAACATACTTTCCTATCAAAATTGTATTCCTTTCTCTTTGTATATTAACGTTCGATCATGCAAAGATTACGATAACAACGGATATGCTCTAGATCAATATCTTTCAACTTATCCGATTACATTTGATCTTCTTTCAATGTTATCAATGTGGTATGTCGATATTAAAACATTTTTAAAATGTAAAGATATAATAATAATATTAAAAAATATTTTCTTTCAATTTAGGTTGAAATCCGTACACGTTTTTCCTATTTGTCAAAAAATATTTTTATAATTCGTACATTGATACGAAATAAAAGTAATAAAATATTATTGATCATTATAAACAAGCATGTATTTTTAAAGAAAACCATAATGCATATCTTAAGATTTTCCTTAGGAATTTGTACATTAGCAAATATCAATGTCAAAAATAATCTTTAATACCATCGACGTGCTTTTATCTTTACGTCACCATTACTCACAGATATTAGAAATTTTTGTTGAAGATTCCCTGTACATATTCGTATTCATACTGATCGAAAGCATAATATTTAATTTTGGATATTTATTAAAATAGATGGTAATACAATTTTTCCAATTCCTGAAGTCTTTCATTGCCATGGTTCTACGAATACTTGCACTTTTTAATTGAAATATTCTGTTTAGATGAAATGTTTACAAATTATCTTGTTAATTTATTATTTCATAGATACTTAAAATCAATTTTCAATTTTGAAACTCTCTTTTAATTCTGATTATTCAAAAATGAAAAATTTGTATATATATATATATATATATATATATAATGGATACATAAGATATACGAAAATCTAAATAACAATACAATAAAAATTCAGTTAAATGTACCGTACGATCAATTATAAAAACAATTAAATTAATATCAGTGCTATCAATATTTGATCAATTCTTAATTTTGTAGCAGTACAATGAAAACCTTAAGCATATATATCGTATGACGAAAACGACCTGATTCACAGAATAGCCGATTTCATGATCGTAAATATCACATCTGATAAATGCAAGTATAAATATGATTGTGAGGACTTTTTCCACTATTCGTAAAACGAAATGGCTTATAGAATCTTCATCTTCGTTCTCATAGTCAACGCAACTGGTAATTAATGATTCCGATTAAATCTAATCAATAATGATAAAACTTATCGACATATAAAAGTGTTTAGAATTTTAGCAAAATAGAAATTTCATCGTGACTTACTGAGGATTTATAAATTGATAAATAGAAAGTTCTATTTTAATAAATTGTTATATTACCATTTTCGTACATTCACACATAAATTTAAATATAATTTATATAACATATATATACACATATATTTATTATATATAAATACGAAAAATAATTGTTTTCTTTTAAAGTTAGTGCTGTACCAATCTCTAGCAGAGTAATCGGAGGGAAGGATGCTGATGACAATGCATTTCCTTATCATGTATCCATACGAGTATACGGATTTCATATTTGTGGAGGATCAATTATTACTGATCAGTGGATTTTGACAGCAGCTCATTGTCTTAATAATAGTGTTATTAGCAATACATTCGTAGTAGCTGGCAGTAATAGTATTCTCTCAGGTAAAATAATATTTTCTTAGATCTTTCTATATATATATATATATAGTAGAATTATAAGTAACATCCATGTTAGTATTTAATCAACACTATTTTCATTTTCAATGTATATTGTAATTTTTAATTTGTAGGTGGCATTGCGTATGATGTGAAGGAAATGATCGTTCATTCAGAGTATCAAACAGGACCTATTCTAAATGACATTGGTCTCTTAAAAATTGTTGGTAGATTTGAATATTCTAACGCAATCAGACCCATTAGACTCCCAGATAAAGACATCGATGAGACGGATTGTACTGCAATATTCACTGGTTGGGGAGATACCACGGTAACGGCCATCATCACAAATCAAAAATACAAACGTTTAAAATATCATTGACCTCTGTTTATCAGTAATTGAAAAAAAAATTACTGTTTAAATAAATAAAACATTTATTTTACATAAGAATATTGAATTTTTAGAGAACGGGTAAAAGCACAAATTGGATGCAACTAATAAGTCTAAAAATTGTTGAATTCTCGAAATGCAAAATGATATATCCATCAATTATAAGAAGCAATATTTGTACAGATAATAGTGATACATATGGTGTTTGCTATGTAAGTATTTTCAACCTTTATTGTATATATTTTTTTTTTCCTTATTGATCTACTCAACAAAATAAATATCTCGTATGTATAAAAATAACTTGAAAGAAAGAATATTAGAAAAATGAAATCTTTAATAAATTTTTAAATTGAGTATAATTCCTTTTTTTTTTAATCGAAGATTAAAATCATAATAATATTTACTTTTAGGGTGATTCCGGTAGTCCGCTTGTCTTAGATGGTGTGCAAATTGGTTTAGCCTCTTGGGTTACACCGTGCGCTAAAGGATTTCCAGATGTTCATACAAGAATTTACAGTTATATAGATTGGATCAAATCACATATTATCCAACTTCGTATTAATGAAATATAATCGTTAAAAGTTGATATTGTGCCTACATACTAGACAATTAGAATAATGAAATTCTCCGCGAACTAATTAAAAATAAGCTATAATAATCACTATAATCTTTATATTTGAAGATTTGGTTAATCGAGGAAAGATAATCTTTATTGATAAGTATAATAATTAAGTGATCGAAACTCGATCGTGCCTAGATATTTGTAAATTTTCATCGATAACGTAGCAATAATCAAAACTTTGTAACAGGTGATTGTTAATCTATTTTTATCTCATATTGTGTATAATCATAAACATATTTAAATCTTTAGCAATAGTGTAAAGTTTTATTAACAATAAAAACAATATATTTTCTTTAATTTCTTACAATAAATATTAATTTAACATATAAATCTGCATAGCTAACTAGAATTAATAGAACAAAATGTGAAGATCTAATAGATATGATCTTAAGGGTTGCTTTTTGACTCTATACGATAAATAATTTCGATCGGGTTGCACTGGTTAGAAAAATTCGCATAGATACGATCGTGAGTCCATCAAGTGGTGTGTGACCTAAATAAAACAGCGCATGCCCCGTCATTTACAAGGACAGTTTCGAGGGCGTGTTTTCATCCCCCGGCTGTTCTAAGCTTGGCTTGAGATCTCGTACCGTTTATAACATTTTGTCAGCGAGTGAAAGAGAGAGAGAGAGAGAGAGTAACAGAGAGAGTGAGAGAAAGAGAGAAAGACAGAAAGAGAAAAAGATGAAAAATGTTAACTAATGAAAATGACATTTGAACCAGCTGTGTGACTCGCTTCATATTTCGCTACTAACAAAGACAAAAAGAAAATCGATAGAGGAGTGCTACGTTCCCTTCTGTCGTGTCAACTTAACTCGGATCTCTACTGTCATCCATGGTAAAAAGAAAAATGCGACGAACGTGGCACAAGATCTGATTGGAAAATCCTCATTTTGATTTTAATGCAATGCCAACAAATTAAAAAAAAAACATTGTAAAAAACACCAATGAAGTTCATTGAATTTTGTAAATTATAAAATAACATAAGGAAGTTTTTGTTGAAATTATAGAAAGGAGAAAAAACAATGAAAAAGAAACCAGTGCATTCTGAGTGTATTTACAACTGAAAGGAACAACAAATATTTCGAGTTCATTTAGTATTTCTTTCTGTATTATTAATACTATTTAATGATAATGGAAATGATGATGACAAAGAAAGTGATAATGATGATGATGATGATAATTTACCAATTTGTTCTTTTCCGTGAAACTTAAATAATATTACAAGATTTAAATCGTATCTTTTTATGTGTTTAATCGAAGAAAAATCAAAGTATTGTTCTTCATATATCGCACAAACAAGTGAAAATAAAATTGAAATTCGCGTGCTAACAAATCTTGTGTTAATATTTCTTAAATATTATAATTATATATATATACATATAATATTGATATAATATATATCAATATTTTTCTGAATAAAATCAACGATACGATTAAAAATGGATTAGAAATGAACATCATGCAAGCAAAAATTTAATGTTTACGTTGTAAACAATCCATAGAAAAGTGCGTAAGATAATATTAAAAATTGAGAATATTAACGAAGTCTATATGAGCTGCTGTCCCTTCATGTAAGTATTAAAAAAAAGTATCAAAATCATAGTACATTGCGTGTTATTTCGTATAATACAATATGTTTATAACATATATATTATCATAGAATTATTATCGTACGATCGTTTTAGATTAAGAAAGTTTTTATATAGACCAATAGAATTATATTGATAATTCTTGTCATGTTTGCATATTCTTATTAATGATTGTGAGTAGCATACTGATATTAATTTGACCATTACACCTATGTAAAATAGTATTGACTATTGCGTACTGAATACAAATATCTGCTTCGTTAGCGTATTTTTATTTCAAATAATGTTTCTTTTTTTTTTAATATAATTATTTTTACAATTAAATATCGAAATAAATTTATACGTTTGTTATAATTTAAACAAATAATGGCAAATATATAAATATCTGCGTAGAATTTTACATCTGCCACGAACTATGTATTTTGTTATATGTGTTGTTAAAAAAAAAAAGAATTAAAATTAGCTCTTATAAAGAAAGAAAAATAATATTTTAAGAACAAATTGCATATACGTAAGAATCGTTACGTTTCAATTTCGCGCGTAACAGGTTTCTATTATTTCCCGCCATGCTGTTTTCTTTCATTCTACGCCAAACTTCTCGTCAATGCACTTCTAAACGAAGATACCTATACAAGCTTTTCGACATTTAAATATATATACCTACATGCAACATGTAACATCTAATATATATATGCTTCGTTACTCAAAAAAATAAGAAAAAATTTACACATAACAAAAAACATAAAATATCGAGTTTAATCGAAGGCGTAATAAAGAAAATAAAAATATGTTAATAGTATAAATACAACATATATATATATATATATATATATATAACGAGGAGCTAAGAAATAAGAGAAAAAAACTAAAGGAAAAGAAAAAAAGAGTTAAAAAAAGAGTGAAAGAGAGAAGATAAATAACTCCCACAAGGACATAATGACAAGCGAGTAGGAGAAAGAAGTAGAAACATTGAAAATGATATCGATAAGTGTAAATAATAAGAATATTAAAAGTAAAGTGAGAATAAATCGAGGAATAATGACATCGAAAAGAGGAGATTTTAAAAAGATAGGTTGTAAGGGTATGTGGAATATTATATAGTCAGGTTGGTCTGTCTGATCCAGAATAAAGGATCTGTAAGAAGAGTGAGCTGAGAGACAACAATGGGTGCATTGCAGCGAATCTTCGAATCGGCGTTCTTTGTGTTACTCGTACGATTTCCTTACTAGTGCAAATGTCGTTGAAGAAGTCCGAACGTGTACTCACTTAGAATTATTCATCTGTCACAAAGAAAGAAAGATACAGAGAGAGAAAGAGAGAGAAAGAGAAAGGAAAGAAGGAAAAGGATAAAGAATAATCTACGTTCAGATGAGCACATAAAACGTTCCATTTATTTGTTTGGGAAATGCGGTGTACTTCGTGTTAAGTTTATGCTGTGAATTATTGGCAGTTGGTCGGTTTTCTATGGAAGAAAGAAACATCTTGATCTAAGGAAAACGATCATGGCCATTTCGCGAATATTGCTAAATAAATTCTATCTTGTTTCTATTTTTTTTTTTCATGATAACACATGTCGAGTTTCGCGTTTTTTAATTTGCCAATTTAGTAGACCGTCGATCGATCGATCTTTTCATTGAAATGTAAAACAATTGTTATGTTGATACAAAATTTGCGCGTGAAAAGAAAATATGAATTTGTATGTGTATGTGTGTGTGTGTGTGTGATGATGATGATGATGATGATGATGATGATGATAGTTAGTGACGACAGTAAGTGACAAATAAAATGACGGCTAACTCTTTGTAAATTCAGTGTTTATCTAATTTCACTTCTACCCAATTAAATATTTTGGACAGTAGTGACCTATCACGTGCTTTAAAAAACGCGTGCCAAATACAGAGACTTCCATAGATGCATAATATTCATCTGAAAGATACATAACATAATCCAAACTCCATTATGGACGCACTACGTCTAGCTGTACAGTGAGTTTACTAACGTTACCTGGATTTGTTTTTATTGCATTTTTTGTATTTTGATTTTTTCCAGCCAAGCGTATTTACCTCCAATATACCTCCAATATATATATTTCTCAACGAAACTACAAGTGAATCTTTGGCTAAACCTTCGAGTTGACAAATTATTCTACTTCAAAATTTAAATTAGAATAATTCATGTATATATGTATATATATATTTTTCATTGGAGTTATAAATATTTCTGAATTAAAAAAATATATCTAAGAAGTAAATAACAACACACACACAGAAATTGTATAATAAAAATAAAATTAATACATATATAAATAATACAATACAAATAATAAGCATGTGCATTTTATTATTTATTTTGAAATAAATCAGAGAAATATACTCATACCTCTTAATATTTTTTAATTTCATCCAACTAACATGATACCTATATTATAAATATACTTTTTAAATATTTATAATAAGTAAAATAGCTTCTTCCTATATTTATTGTAAAAACTATTTTATCATTCTCTGTAATTTTTAGGACACGGCTAGGGGAGAGGATGGTCAGCATGAGCTCCATGCTTGTAGAAACAGTTAGTATAAATTATGAAGATTTTAATGAGAGTTTCTTAACATGTGGGACATGTTTATGTGTTTATGATGGTGGAGAACATACTCCAAAACTATTACCATGCTCTCACACAGTATGTATTTAAATATATCAAATTGATCAATATTCGATGAATTTGTTTTTAATATTTTTTATATTTTTCTAGGTATGTTTACATTGTTTAACAAGAATTGCTGCATCACAAACAAGAGAAACTGGAGCATTTCGATGTCCAATTTGTAGGGAATTAATAACTATCCCTCGTGGAGGAGTTCCTGCGTTACCCCCTAGTTTTCTCGTCAATCAACTTCTTGACCTCATGTCGAGACAAAGACGAGAGGTATCATATTGTATTTATTACATATTCTTCTTTATAAATTAGCATAAATATAAAATAGATTAATACTTCTAGCACTAAATAAATTAGAACATCGTATTAATTGCTTTCATACATATATATGCTTATTTGTTGTAGGTTATCCCAAAGTGTTCAGTACATATAAATCAAGAATTACTATTCTGTGAAACTTGTGATACAGTTTTTTGTACAATATGTACAAGTGGTACACACGCAGGTACATCACCAGGCTGTACAGAACATACAATTATTCCTTTTAGCATTGCAATAAAACGAATGTCTGAAATACTATTGTATAAAGCAAATGAATGTATATCTAAGGTAGGAAATTGTATATTTTATTGTCATTTTCAAATTATCTAGTGTAATTTTTGTATGATAAAGTAGAAAGTGGTTAATATACAGGTATATTTAAGTTGACACAGGCTCAAGATTCTGTGAGCACAGAACTTCAACGTTTAGATGCTGCCATGGAAAGATGTTTACATGCCGTTGATGCCGAATTTACGGACATTATTTCTAAAGTAGAAAAACGTCGTGTGGAATTACAAGCTGCTGTTAGTGCTGCTGTTAGAGATAAAAAACGGGTACTCGAAGAACAACATGCCGCAATAGAAGCGGAAAAAAATAAAGTTGAAAGAGAATGTGAAGGATTGCAATATCAAGTACTCACACATACACGACTTTTCTTTATATTCAATGTATCTATAAAAAGTATTTATTTTTTATCATTTGTTAATTTCAAATGTCAACCTTTTTCGATAGATCGAAGTTCAAAATATAACGCAACGAATTGGAAGTTTATCCGATCAACTTGATGCAGCTATAGCACTTAGTGAACCAAGAGAGAATGCTTTTATCACATTTGAATTTAATCATAATAATGCATCTTTTGAACTAGAGAAGGCTCTTAATGACTTAGGAAGAATACGCTCCAGTACAACATTACCTGGTAGTTTATTATTGATTATTATAAAATATAATATTTGTTATATATTGGGTTGGCAACTAAGTGAGTACGGTTATTTTAATAATAATCTATCGACAAAATCCACAATCACTTAGTTGCCAACCCAATACTACTCAACATAATTATCATATCGAATAAATTTCAATTTGTGTAATATTTAACAGGTTTGTGTAGAGCTAGACTTAAAGATCCAGCAATAGTTAAACTGCAAGGAGTTGTTGTAGTTGAAACAGTTGATTATCATGGTCATCCGCGTAATGTTGGAGGAGATCCTATTGGAGCAGAATTAATGCTAACAGATAATATTCAATCAGATAATCAAAGTCAATCAATTGAAACTGAAGTTAAAGACTTGGATAATGGTACTTACGAAGTACTATTTAGGCCACCATATGCTAGTCGTTACATTTTAAAATTATCCGTATTTGAGAGACCTATTAAAGATTATCCATTGTTCTTTGATGCCACGGAACATAATGAGCCAGTTAGAGTCTATGGAAGAAGAGGAAATGGTGAAAATGAATTTCATCAGCCAGTCGGAGTTGCAATAGATGATAATAGAAATGTTTATATTTTAGATACTGGCAATTCAAGAATCAAGGTACGTGTATGTTTTAGATCTATATAATCTATCCATCATTGATTTAAACTTTTTATGATTCTGATTTTAAAAAAACACATAATATCTAAATATTATTTAAAAATTTATTTCTATTTATTGTGACAGGTACTAGATAGTGATTTAGAATTTCAAAGACACATAAATAATGAAGGCTTAGAAGGACGTAGTTGTACAGGAATCGCCATATCTCAGCAAGGTCTTGTAGTTGTTAATTGGAGGACACGAAGAATCACAGAAATGAGTACACTAGGTGATACAATTCGATCTTTCTCCCATAATACCTTTCAAGTTAGTACATTTCTTTATATTTTATATGTAATTTCTTAATAAATATATTATTTATGTTTCGTAAATAATATTATCTTATATAGGAACCAATTGATATAGCAGTAGATAGAAGTTATGGGCATATACTTGTTGCTGATAATGGACAAAGTTGTGTTTTTGTATTTGATTCTGATGGTAAAATACTATTTCAGGTTAGTTAATAGTTCTATAAGCTAGATCATTATGTTTATTAAACATATTTTATACAAAATCAATTACTAATAAACAGGTTGGAAAAAGGGGCACCTTTAAATTAATTAATTCTGTAACTGTTGGTCCTGCTGGAGAAATTTTAGTTGCTGACAGTCGAATTCAAGTATTTTCTGCCAAGGGTGATTTCTCTGAAGAAATATATGCTGAAGGAAAAAGTAGTTATATTTTGTTTTATTACATTTAAATATTAATTTAAGTATTTATATATATATATGTATATATTATATGTTCAATAGATAGAGGCATATATGGTGGTATTACAGTAGATGCAGAAGGCAAAATACTTGCTACTCGTACAGATAAAGGTCGAAGCATCATTCAAGTCTTAAAGCTGGGAGGAGGTAATATTTTAACTGAAATTGATTCTCATAGTTCAAAATTACGACGTCCATCAGGCATTGCGGTACTAGCAGACAATCATTTAGTCGTGGTTGACTTGGGTAACGATTGCATAAAAAAATATAGATATTGGTAAAACTTGTTCTTAATTAACAAATTTCACTTCACGACTGAATAAAATTATAAATATGCCAAATGTTCTACAGTTTTATTAGTTTCTAGTTTAATAGCTTTTAAAATTCTAATGTTAATCATATAATGACAGTTTTGATACGATTTTATAATTTAGTCTGCTTTGTAAATAATTATATAAGACGAGTCTAATGGTCGAATCTATATATATTTAATTTGTAACTTAATTCAGATTTTATTGACTTGCTATGATAAATTTTCTACTAATATCTTACGAAATGTAACATATTAATTTTGAGTGCTTTGTACTTACATTATATAAGTAATGAAGCTTATCTATTCTTTTAAATCCTTACATTTTTTGTTGTATATCTCATTTATAGAAGTAATAATGATTTATAAATTCAGGCATAATAATTACATTTTTTAAAGTATAGTTGGACAAAACATAGGACGTTCCATATAAACAAAATTATTTATATTTAGAAAATTCACAACTTAATAATGAATAATTAGTATTATAATAACACATTATTATTATACACACCAACTTTTGATGTGTTTTAACCATATTTAAAATAGTAATATGACACTGCCCTACTGCATTACTTCTAGCTCAGAGCGAAGCATACTCAACAGTCCCATATTTTATTTAACTAATCGTATTTACACATTTAGTTTAATATGTATTATAATTTATTTTTAGCTTTTCTTTTTTTTTTCTTTTCAAAATATTTTGCTTGGTTTTTAAATTATATTAAAAAGTATACATAACTTTTTAAATAGAATTTCCTACTTTTTGTATGTGTCGTACAGAAATATCAGTATGTCATAATTATAACACTTCTATACTTATGAATACATCTATATAAGTAACTTACACACCAAAGCTTGATCTTTTCTGCTAACAAAAAGCAATCAAGGCCTTAAGAAACAAAAAATCTCTCTTATAATTAGTAAAATTATTATTAGAACAGATTAAGTTATCTGTAACAAAATCGTTAATCTATATTTAGCAAAATTATTTTTACATTTTCATTATTCATTTATTGATCTTCAACCTGTGATTTGAAAATGTGTGTATTATTATATATTAAAATTTTTTTTTTTTATAAATTTTGCATAGAAAATTTCAGTAGACTGACATTTTTTACAATAATTTACTACAACAATAGATAATAGAACTTATATAGAGATAGAAAAATGTATCTTACATTATAATGAACTTATAATTTTATTGAAATTTATGACTTTTTACTATCATGACACTTAATAGAATTTAATTGTAGATTATAATACTCTTTTTTACAAGTTTGTATTAAGTAACAAATTTTATATTATATAGATAGCTTACTTTAAAAATATATACTTTTGTTATTGAAATACCTAGGTACAGATAATTTCATTTACAATAAAATGTAAATGCAAAAGTAGATGTACATCAAATACATCTGTATATAATTCGAAAAACCATATATTTAACTAAATGTTTACCCTACTTATAATTTCACTAAAGATTATAATATATGAACAAACGAAAGTTTCTTGTAATTAAATTTTTTTAATTGTTTCGTTTGAAATAATAAATAATAATTAACTATTTTTTTTTTTTTCAAAACTATCTTCACTTCTTTGATTTGTTATTAATCTACCGAACAGAAAAATTTAACTGTGTTTTATACATCAAATAGTATCATTTAAAAATATGTGTAAATATTAAAAGAAATACTCTGCACCTAGGTATACAAAAAACATATATTAGTTTATTATGCCAAATATTTCTTTTTATATGTCTATACAATTCTTATATTTTTACCGCATACTGATATTTTGGATTTTTTAAATAGAATATGCAAAGTCACTGTAATTTTTAATAATATCGCTCTAATTGTCATCCTTTGTTCTATGTTTTTTTATGTGTAAATTAAAATTCATTTAACTTTATTAAATAATTTGTGTTTCATTTGCAAAAATATTATTTAAATTAGAATATTTTATATCACACATATACTAGTACATATCCTGAAATGAAATATATTTAGGTGAGACCACTTAAAAAATAGAAAGAGGAAGATTTTTGTTGTTATATGCATTTATCATACAAGTAAATTTTGTATGTAATCCACTTTTGCATTTGTTTTTACGTATCGAGAATCATGTGTTATTTTTATGAACAATATTATTATGAAATGTATAAATAGTCTAATATGTTGCTAAACTTAGCATATAATACGTGTAGAAAAAGCATTTATAAAATTCCTTGAGTAATGCATTACTTTCCCACATATGCTGAAATTACTAATGTAATTAGCATGCACAGAAATAGACTTACATTAGTATCTCTTGTTTTATTTTTATTATAAATATTATAGAATAATATTTTACCAAGTTATTAGGTATTAATTTAAAAAAGAAATTTTTAATGATATAATAAAGTTGTCAGCTATTTATGGCACACGATCAAAACTTAATAGTTGAAAAACGTAACTTAATATGATATGATACATATACTTTGGTTCCTAATCAGGAATAAATAAATCAAATATATGATATTATGATATAAAGTATAAAACTGAAATAGTTATAAATTGCCAAAGTTCAGTTGTATAAATAAATCTAGACATAAGGCAATAATTTCAAATAATATCTTTATTATTTTGGAGGACTGCATTATAGAAGTACAACATTCCTTGTAGACTGCTTGGCAGAATTGAATATAAATAGATAGATATGTGCTATAAATATATATATATATATATATATATATATGTTTATGTATTCATATAATGAATAATTACAAATGCACCATTGTATTAGTCCTTTAGTGCAAAACATGGCAGTGCCTTTACTGATAAAAATTTCCATGTAATGTGCCTATTATGATTCATCATAAGTCATTCAGATTCGTTTATACATTTTTGATAAAACGAACAATGAATTTTGAAATAAAAGATTTATAAAGTTCAATTGGCATATTGTTATAAAATAAACTTATGATTTTATTAAAATAATAAGATTCTTAAATTGTAAATTTCCTGTTTCTCTCTCTCTCTAACATAGATATTTTAAACATTTTATTAAATTTTCATGTTACAAAAAGCATACTATAAAAATAGAATCTGTTGTAAAGTATAGATCTGTTATTTTTTGTAAATCATAATCTGGATAATATAACCATTATTATTATACTACTATTCAAACTTTGGCAGAATTATGAAAGTTCTCAAAGTTAATGAAATTATAACTATTTTTATTACAATCATAATGTCATTAAATGTCATAAATATATTAAGCATGTATAAATTGGATCTAAATTTAGATTTGATGTGGTAACTTTACTTCTTGATCCTTTAATCTAGTCATACGCTATTTGTAGTTATAACTGATGACCTAATGTTATATATTATGTGCTGTTACATAAAATAAACATTGTAAATAAATATGTAATCATAATCTACGAAAAGTAAAGCTCTCTCTTTTTTTTTTAACTCAATATTTTTTTAGTAATTTAATTTTGTATTTTTTATATAAATAAATCAATTTTTTTAAGTATTTGATAATAAAATTAAAATATCCAAATATTTTTCACTATATATATTGATAATATAACATAAATCTCGTAATTTTTGCCAATGTGTAGCTTTTATGAAAAAAATAATATGATGACTACTATGTTGTAAACACAACACACCCATACACAACGGGATTAAAAGACTTCATTTTTATATATCATTTTTATTTATGACACATGTATTATTAAAATATATAATTTCATTAGGCATGGTATATTCACATGAAGGATATCAATTCTGAGATACTAATTCATTATTACTATACCCGTGCAAATAATGTATTAGAAAAAAGATTACGTAAATATGACATTGCAAAAAATGGAATATACGAATAAATAATAAATTACTTGCTACAATAAACTTAAAAAAATTACTTGCTTGATTTTATTGGCATCATGATTTCTTAACTTTATGATTGGCCATAATTTCCAACATTTTAGTTACTTTAATTAAATCAACATCTTTTGCAAGCTTCAAATAATCTGTTTTTCGTACATTATGTATACTAGCCCAAGTAGGCAATAATTTGCATAATTTCCGCACATGTTCCTCCAATTCAGCGGCAGTAAGTTTAGTTCTAAACGAATTGTCTAATTTCGCCAGTACATGTTCTAAAGTTAAAACTCCTTTCTTTTCAGCTACAAAAATACTGCGAAGAATCTTAGCTAATTCTGGTAATCTAGAATATAGAGCCGCCTCTTTATCTAGATCTGGAGTGCGAGTCATCGTCTCTAATGCTTTGGCAGCTTGTTTTGCACGTACCTGACATCATCAAATCGTAAATTTCACAATAATTAAAAATGAAAATAAATTAATTAAAAAAAAGAACAATGAAAAAGTTGTACCTTTTCAAGAAGAGAATTTGGAATGCCTTTAAATGCCGTAGCAAGATAGCTCTTCTCTATAGTTGGTGTAACTGATGGAGAATCAACAATAGTAATATTAACTTGTTTTACAGTATCGTCATTAGGATCTTCAGTAGAAGATATATCCGTAGATACAGACTTTGATGTCATTTTTGCTTCAGCCAATCTTTGCAAAGCTTTCTCCATACGAGTATTACAATGGAATAAGGACTTCGCTTTTTCTATAAAAAAAAAATATATGTATTAAAAAATATTACTTAAGAATCTATATACATATTCTTATAAACTAATTAAAGGATTTTGTTCAATAATTTATGTGAAATATTAATTAAACTCTGTAATATTGAGAGCAACATGCAAGTATAATTGAAAATTCTTTTGCTTGTTTCTTTTTTTCATTTTAAAATTGTTTCATATCAATACATTATCATGCATACACGTGTGTACTGTTTGCATAATGAAATCATTGTTAATATCATCTTACCCAAAACATGTTTAGCAGAAGTGGCTTTTTCCACATTAGGTGGTTGCGGCAATGCAGATTGCTCAATAGGCTTGCAACCATCGACATTAAACTCAGGATGCCAACGTATAATTTTCTCTTTAGGAATGACCATTGGTTTATCTAATTTAAGCAAGAATTGCTCATGTTCTGCTTTAACTTTATCTGCAATATATAAATAAATATTGTAATAGTATGATATTAATTTATTAAAATTCAAAGTAAGTAAAATAGTTGGAATTACCTAACAAAATTTCATAAAATTTCCTTTTTCTTTGTAGTAATATAGCTGGACTCATGCTTACGTCATTTGCTGTCTGTAAGACATTGTCTTCATTTCGTTCATTCAAATCACTTTTTACTTCTTGTACATTTGGTGTTAAAATTAATTCATATTTATCTTGTTTAGATGTTGAACCAAATGATTTAACTTTTTCTTGATGAAAGTTATAAGCATCAGGATAAATAGTCTTTATTTGTGCTAAATGTTCTAATGTAACATTGCGTCGCAAAAGTTCTTGAACAGCTGGCTTCAATTTTTTAAATGTTATTAATTCTTTACGATTAAATAGCATAGCTGAAACCTAAAAATATCAAGAATATGGAATATTATTTTACACATAAATTAATGTAGTACAATAAAAATGCAATAAATGATATTCTTCATGTACCGTATCAATGTATCTAAAAATCTCTGCTAACAATCTGTAGTTATATGGTAATTGTAATCTTGGTTTATCACTTTCGGCAAGCGATAAATATTTTTGATAAGCTTCAGTTTTATCAGGTTTACTCTTTATTGGGCTAATTGATTCCTTAGGTTCAAATAAAATACGACGTTGTGGACTTGTTTGAGCTAACAACTCTTTCTTTGGACTCATGAATGCCTTGCATGGTGATTTTAAGTTCTTTTGAGGGCTGTTCAAAAAATAAAACTGAATATAAAATTTGAAGAAAAGATTGTAAATATTATGAAAATGTATTTACCTGACTGGTATTTCAAGTTGAATTTGTTCAAATTTCTGTATTTGAGGTTTATTCAAATCATTTCGTTTCTGAACTTCATTTAAACGTTGATCACATTTCGTAATGCGATCAATGGAAGCTTTTAATTTTGCTAGTCTGCCAGATTTATTAATTTTATCTTTAATTTCATTCAAATCTAAATCTTTTCTAATGGAGTCATTTCTAGTCTTCTTTTTAGGTGTAGTAAATATAACAGAGGTAGACTCATTTTGTTCATTCACTGCAGTCTGTTTATCTTCGGCTACATTCTTCTTTGGCATCAAAGGTTGCTTCTTTGGACTCAAAGTACCTTTCTTTTCAAATAATACTTTTTTAACACTTTCTTTTTTTATATCAGCATCATTACTTTTTTTGAGAAAACTCTCACGGATATCTGTTTGCCTATCCTGATTTGATTTACATACTTGAGCTGAACGTGAACGTGTAGAAGCTTTATTTATTTTCTGTATAGATAATTTAGTATCAATTTTAGTAGGATATATAACAGAATTTTCTTTAGAAGAAGTCAAATTATTTAAATTATTTATTCCTGAAATCAATATAATTTTGGGACTCATTACCATAGTTTCTTCTTGTTTTTCAGACACAAGTTTTAATGGTTGAAAATTTTGCGTTTTCACTTTCATTTCACTTTCTTCAGTCATTTTCATATGCTCTTGATCCAACAATAAAACTTTCGATTTACTAAGGATATCTTCATTAGCTTGTCGTTTACGTGTATTAAAATATGCCGTTACTGATGGCTGTGACATTGTACTTAATTCAAATATATATTGAAAAAAACATATATTTCTCTTCTGCTTTAACGGACTGAATAAATCGTATACTTTCACAAAATTCAAACTTTTCTTAAGCTGATTCACGATAATGCATTAACACTATTTTCCATATATACATACAGAATTAATAAGTTTTAGCGCGAAAACTGTAAGATGTATAGGGAACTTTGGTTCCCAGAGTAAAATCCCTGGGAAATAAAACTAGACACAGAGAGCGGGAAGTGGTAAAATTAACTTTGCGTAACAAAAAAATAGCACGTGTAATTTCGTGCAGACTTCTAAAGTAGAACTTTATCGCAGGTGACTATTTATAACTATGATATGGTTATTATTATGTAGAATATATTAATTTACAAAAATATATATATATTAACACATTTAAGCGACCACGCGCACCGCAACGAACTGTATGGTTTCAAGCACGCTCGAACAAAATAACTAAGGTCAACATGGGATCTCCCCATCAGTCGGACACAAATTTACTTTAAAGTGGGGAGATCTCCCGATAGGTTGGCCAAGTGTTTAGAGGATTCCTGATTGAAAGTTTTGTAAAAGGCAACAAAAAGAAAAGACTGAATGCAAATATTATAGCTCTATTTATTTCACTTATTTGTACACTATCTTCAGGTAATTGCGTAGATAAAGTGAAAACGATGGCTTTATGATAACTAAAATAACACACATATGTTTTCGACTTGATTTTGTTCAAAAATTTTATAGTTACTTAATACTGCTTAATACGTTCATTGCAGTGATATTTTTAACTGTTCAACGATTAGTGTAGTCGTATAGTCAACATTGTATAGTTGTCAAAATAGAAAACCTGTGAATGAAGCATTATAAAATGTGTAATTATATTTAAATAGGTATTTTATTGTAAATAATCATTCGAAATAATGTTTGTTTATTAACTAGTGTAATATTTAAATAAAGCAATAAAAATACGAATTCTGACTAATTAATACTAAAATCAATTTTTATTTATTATCCTATTAAAGGTTTTTTCATTTCAGCGCATTAATTTTCGTAAGATGTGACTACGTGCGCGCATTACATCGATGGGGCGCCTTTCGGCGCGGTCGCATGTGCTCTTGTAAGGTAGATTGGAGGGGGTAGGTGAACCATGTGATCATCGAGAACCAATCAGCTGTTTAACATTGTCCTGCCGCCAAGCCAAGCTCGTCTGACGTCCGTGATCCTATGTGCATGCAAGTCTGCAACTTCCAATTACTTTATTATGCAGGAGTAGAAGATTAAAAAGGATGGATAATTTATAATATACAACAATCAGCCAACTATAATATTTCGTGCGTAGGATTCAATTTATCCTCGATAGCATTCTAAGATTTGTGTCACAAGTGTCGCCATTTTGGTGATACGGCAAGCTAAGCCTGCAAGTGTACCTATGATCTTTTTATTTTGGCTTAGTATTTGGGCGATCTGTGGGATCGTTTCCGACGTCGAACGAACGCAATAATTATAGAGATGACACAACAAAATAAAACGATGAATTTCTTAATACATGACGCCAATGGTAAGTTATCTAAGAATGCGCCGACAGTCGGCATGTGTTTTTCGATACACTACACAACACGTTGCACTAGTTTTTAATATTGGAAAATATTCATAATTCTTGATCAACGTGCACTTTTAATGATTTTAAATCTTTCCATAACGTATGTTTATATCTGAATCATATTGACTATTTTTTTTTGTCTTTCTTTTCTTTAATGCACACTGTAAGATTGTACATTCCCTTACTTTTTCTTGTATTTAAATAAAATTCAAAATTTATTTCTTTAAATAAACTTTAAGCCTGGCTTTCCTTGTAATATACGTTATATATATTATGAAAATATATATAGTAAAAAAATAATCAGTAGTAAATGTATATACAAGCGTAAAAGCTATTTTAGACTTACTAGTCTGTATATTCATTTCTTCCTTGCAAACAATAAAGCATATATAAGTCCTCAAGAAATTGTGTAAATGCTTTTTATGTGAATATATTCCTTTTTCATAGAAAGGTAAATAAAAAAATAAAATAAATAATTATCGAAATAACAATTTCATCTTTCCAACTTGGTATTAATAAGAAACGCCAAATCAAATTGTTCCTGTAAGTTAATTTTTATTAAACATATTATATGTAATCTTCTTTCATAAAAGGAAAATATTAATTTTATCAAATTTACATATTTTATTTGATTATAAATAATATTTAACGTAATAAAGTATAAGCGAGTTAGTATTATTATAAACAAAAATATTTAAATTCTATTACTTTGTTTAACATGTTTTTCATATACATAGTTTTAGTTTTGTGTGTGTGTGTGTGTCTTCACTAGATTTATAGAAATTAAATTATTTCATCACCATAATTTGATATTCTTTATATTAAATTAGTTGAATATTTATATATATATTTTTATTAAATGATTTTTATTATTTTTACTAGGAAATTTTGTTTCATCTGACTCATTTAATATTATTAATAAAATAACTATAGAACCAAACACACACATTATTCATTTAAAAAACAAGTTAAAGTATATTTCGTAGAACATAATTTCAAAGATGAAATTTAAGATGATACATTACTTCCGTCTCCTTATTTTATCAATGATTGATTAATTATGTGTGTGTGTGAATGAACCCTTATGAAAATATCTACAATATAAATATATTAACAAAATGGAAAAAGTTGTAATACTAAAAACTCTTACAGGTCATCCACAGGTGATAAAGGTTGTACAAAGTACACCTAATAAATCATTAAGTGGTATTATTAACACGACAAATACTGGTAGTTTTAAAGTTTTTAAAACACCAACTCAAGAATCACAGGTATGTTGATGAAATAAGTGATATACATTCTATGTTAATAACGTTATGCTAACATTTTGTTTCCATTCGGAGAATGAAAAGAATATATTTATTATTGCACGTAATATTTTTATTTATTTATTTAATTTTTAGGTTCTGTCACCAAATGCACAAGTCCTCAGAACTATTAGCCTACAAAGTTCTTCAACCCCTGGTCAGAGTGAGCAAGTTTAATTCATCATTCAATGAATGATTATTTAATTTTCATATCTAACTTATATTATTTTTTGTAGGATTGGTGACAATACCTTTGCAAAATACAAAATTAAGTACTACTAAACCTGGAGAACCTGTAGTAACAAAAACAATACAATTAACATCTGCTCAAATGGTAAACAATATTCCAAAATATCCTTACATTTATAAGTCTATTTTTTAATTCTCTTTTTTATTTCTCTGGAGATATCTTGTAATATTCTCTAAGAATTGTCTATTCATATAGCATAAGAATCTTTTGAATATTATTAGAATTTTCTGTAGTAATTGCACTTCTGTATAATTTTGTTTCAGAGTGATATTAAGCAGGCAATAGTATCCCAGCAACAGCAAAGTAGTAATCAACAGCTTGTTAAGGATGTATCAGGGAAAACATTTATTAGTCCAATATTGGATCACAGTGGTTCTAGAAAACGACAAGATACAGAAAGTGATTTTGTGCCTGAGTACTGTATTATTTTCATTCATATTCTTATCTAAAAAAATTTCATTGTACATTGCATTGACAAAAATAATACTACTTGTTAATTTTGTTTGTAGTAAAAGAAGGAAAACAGAAAAGGTAGGGAAAGGTCTCCGTCATTTTTCGATGAAAGTATGTGAAAAAGTAAAAAAAAAAGGTACCACGTCGTATAATGAAGTGGCAGATGAATTAGTTGGAGAATTTACTAATCCTGCGCATATAAATTCATTAACAGATCAGGTAAATTTGTATTACATATAATAATTATTACATTAATTACCTTGTTTAATAATAAAATTATAATTTTACTTTTGTTTCAGCAATATGATCAAAAAAATATAAGGAGACGTGTATATGATGCTTTAAATGTATTAATGGCAATGAATATTATTTCCAAAGAAAAGAAAGAAATTCGGTGGTTAGGTTTACCAACTAATTCATTACAAGAATGTTTAGCACTAGAAAAAGATAAGAAAAAGAAAATTGAAGTAATTAAAGCAAAGACACAACAACTTCATCAACTCATTCTTTCACACATTTCGTTCAAGAATTTGGTAGAACGTAATCGTTTAAATGAAAGTCTTCATGGACCACCAAAACCTAATTCTGCCATACAGCTGCCATTCCTTATAGTTAATACCAGCAAAAAGACTATTTTAGATTGCAGCATTTCAAACGACAAGTATATTTTACTTACTATAAATTATTTATATAATATTTATAAACTCAGAGATTATATACAAAATTATGGAAATATTATTACTGATGTATAAATATTTTAGTCTCTAACTGTATGCTCATATTTCGGTGTTACAGAACTGAGTACCTGTTTAATTTTAATGATAAGTTTGAAATTCATGATGACATTGAGGTTTTAAAACAAATGGGTTTGGCCTTTGGTAATTACAAAAAATTTAATAATTATATGTTAAGTTATATTATTTATAAATATTTATAACTAGTAATATAAATTCTTATTTTTAGGTCTAGAAAGAGGTAACTGCTCCGAGGAGAATTTACAGACTGCAAAATCGATGGTTCCTAAATCGCTTGCAAAATATGTGGAACGTACGTATTTCAAAGTGATATAATATATAAGTGGATTTGTTCAACATTACAGAAAATTTATTATTTTAGAATTAGCATCAGGTGATCTGGAACAATTCATCCCAGTCACAATACCTGGTCCTAGTACTTCTATGGAAGACTTAGAAGTTAAATTAGAAGGTTCTAGACCCCCATCTTCATCGCATACTTCGTTATCTGAAGAAGGTCTTTCACCACCATCTCAATATTATTCTGAAGAAGAAGATGATGAAGAAGAGAGCGATCAGGATGATCAAGCTGATAGTGATCTAGAAGTTAACTAGCACCTGGATCAAACTTCCCAAGGCTGGACTCAGGGTTCGTTACGTTATGTAAATAACTTTAAATATTTTAATCTAAATTAGTATACTACAATGAGTCAATATTTATTATAAATAGTTAATTATCTTAGATTTCATATTTTCATCCAAAATTTTATTTATATATAAAAAATATTAAATTCTACTAAAAATAAATCATAGTTAATGATTTTGAAAGGATGTATATATCTCATCAGAAATATACTCAATTACATTTAATTTATAGATATAGATAATTATAATTTCAGGATATGCACTATTTTCATCAGTGGTGTCAACGTGATCATTATCAATATCACCACTGACATCATCGTTACCGCCCCAATCACCACCGTCTTTACTATGTCGATCAAGATTATGTAGATGTATAATAGTAATCAAGGATTTTTTATTAATCCTTACTATCATCGATACATATAATCTGATAAAGTAAATGAGAATGGACAAGAGGAAAATACATCGATTGGAGGCAAATGAAAACAAGTAATAAATAATTACTTTGCCTAAATATATCAGCAAGGCTCTTTTCATATTAGGAAACCAGTTCAATGCACAAGATGTGATTCTAATTTTGAAAACGTATGTAATATCAAAAAAACCATTGACTGTGCATTGATTTACAGATTTATATGACTAGCACTTATGTATAATAAATTATAATCTTAGCCTTATACCTACATTAATATGTGTATAAAATATTAAGACCAGTACTCATTTTCTTATGGCACGTTTATAATAATTATTATCAGTGACACGCGGTGAAGTTCAGTATGCTAAATGCGAATACGTCTGATTCGATTTTGAAGTATAAATAAATTGTCATAATGCTATTGTTCTATTTTTTTATTAATTTTTAGTATAAATGTTTATTCATAAGGTTACCTGTCCAAGTAACTTGAAGCGATGAAACATTGAAATAATTAATTGTAATATATAATTGGAATCTGGTGCAAATGAAAGGTTTCTAAATATATATATATAGAAGTTTATTAATAATTTATAATTTAGACTTTATAATTATTCTATCAGAAATAAGAATGAAAAAAAGAAAAAAATTCTATACATATATATATCATTAGTTACAAGATACAAAATATGATTAGTTTTATGACAAAGTTGTTATATAGTTTGTTAAAGCTATAATCTTTGAATCAAAAATGAAAATATATGAACTTAATGTTTATTACATCAAAATAACAGTACTCTTCTAACACTTGCAAGAATATATTCTTCATTGTCAATAAAAAATTGACTTGAAGAAACAGGTGATATTAACCAATAACTAAGTTTTATAACATTAAATTTTTTATCTACTGTGTATACTAAATAGGTAACTTTGAAAATACTTTAATCTAAATCATCATCATCAAAAAGGTCATCGAATTCTGAAATGATAATAAATTTATAAATTAAAATTAAATTTGTTACAAGAAAATACTAGACTGGTTTAAAAATACTTCATGTTCATACCATTGAAAAAATCTGCATGTACCGCCTTCTCGCTGGTTGTAAGGTCTACTAATAAACGGCTACCACCAACCTAAAAATGTTATAATTTAATAAAATAAAATATGTGTGTAACAAAAAGTAATTGCATATCATCATATAATTAATCTTTTATGACAATTTTTTATATTCATCATGAATATGTAATAAATTATAAACAATATTTTAAATGTTATAAACAACATTGTGTTATAATATAATTACCTCCTCAAGTTCTATATATGATCCTGCTCCTTCTGGAAACATTTCATCTGCCACAAGAGTCGGCTTCATAATTAACAACAAAAATCACTCTTCCCCTATTATTTGCAAAAAAAATAACAAATTTTAAGAAATGGATTAGTGGTTCCTGATATTGTAAAACGGATAAACTGCCATCTGATGGAATTTACATTATTTACAATTCTAACCTTACATTATACTTAATAAAAATATAATATGTATACTAATTATTATTTAACGATTAAGTGAATTTTACGCTTTATAAATAAATAAAATAATACAATAATAGAACAATTTTATCCAACCAGTTTTTTGTGATTCATACAATTCATATAAATTTGTACAAATTCATGCAAGAACGTGTTCGATTATATATATATAAGTACATATATATGTTATTTGCCCGGTGCAGTGTATGCTCACATAAGTTTAAAGTTTAAAATACAAAATATAATATATAAAAACTATAATAATTATTATTTATAATCTTTAATAATGCGATGGTCAATTCCAAAACCAGTTTATTATGCATCAATAATTGCAACAACAGTTGGTACAAGCTACCTAATAAAGTAACCTGTTTTTACATAATTTAATTTTATTATAAATAAATTCAGTTCAAATATATGCAAATTATTGGTTTAACCATTTGAATCTCATTATGTTGTTATATTTGAAAAATATATTCATATTGACTACAAGTGATATTATTTAAGATATTTATTAAAAAAATAATTACTTTTTATTTAGTAAGTATTATACACATTTTGTCTTGTTTGTTGTTTGTAGAGATTATTTAGGTGGGACAAAATATGAAGGAAAAGAAGATTTAAAAGATAAAGTTGTAATTGTTACCGGTGCGAGTTCTGGTATTGGTAAAGAAACAGCTCGTGAATTAGCTGCAAGAAACGCAAAAGTTATCCTAGCTTGTAGAAATAAAGAAAGATGTGAACAGGTATTTGCTAGTTTTAAATGCAGTTATATATATTACATATTAGTTTTGATTAAAAATTTCTTAATTTATCTTATTGTTTTAGGCACGTAGAGAAATTGTTGTCGAAACCAAAAATAAACATGTTTATTGTAGAAAATGTGACTTGGCATCTCAAGAAAATATACGACACTTTGTTAATCGATTTAAGAAAGGTAATAAACAAATATTTTAATTAGCTGTTTAAGCATATCAATTTTAATATTTATATTTATGGCACAGAAAATTCTCAACTTCATATACTTATTAACAATGGTGGTGTAATGCGATGTCCAAAAAGTTATACCAAAGAAGGTATAGAAATGCAGCTGGGTGTAAATCATATGGGACACTTTTTGCTTACAAACTTATTATTAGATGTTTTAAAAGAATCGGCACCATCAAGAATTATAAATGTTTCAAGTAATGCACATTTAAATGCAAAACTTAAAGTCAAAGATTTAAATAGTATGGAAAAGTATGATCCTTTTGAAGCGTATGGACAAAGTAAATTAGCCAATGTTCTATTTACAAAAGAATTAGCAAATAAACTAAAAGGTATTATAATTTTAATAACATATTTAGCATTTATTCAATTAAATAAATAAGTATGTTATTTAGGAACACAAGTCACAGTTAATGCAGTTCATCCAGGGACTGTTGATACAGAAATAACAAGACACATGATAATATTTAAAGTTCTTTTCTTAAGATATTTGATTAAACCATTTATATGGCCTTTTATAAAGTCACCTAAACAAGGAGCTCAATCTATTTTATATGTTGCATTAGATCCTAGCCTTGAAAATGTCACGGGCTCTTTTTTCAGGTAAGTGATATTGTATTATCAACAATTTTACAAATATTCAAGGAAATTTTCTTAAATAAGATATTCTGTGTATTAAGTAAAATAACATTATAACTATTTCTTTTTGTTTTCCATATTTTAGTAATAACGAAATTTCTAACGTTTCTGATGAAGCTAAAGATGATAAATTGTCAAAATGGTTATGGTTAGTTAGTGAAAAATGGACAAAGTTAAATGTCACTTAAGACTGTTTATTACCTTTTACTCGAAGAATGCGTGACTTTAACGAAATATATGGACAAAATATGAACTAAAAGCACTACAAGGAAGCCCCTATAAAATATCAGTGTTCAAACTTATGTTACTCCCTTTCACATTAATTTGGACTGTAGCATTTGGTTTACAGCTTGAACTTATACTTTTCAATCACTCATCTATACATTAGATAGGATGTAATACAACTATGATTGACGACAAATCTACAAAAAGACTTATAATTAATATTATTAGCAACATATAGTAATTAATATATACATTTCTAGTGAAAAAAAAAACAAATTTTGTCGATGATTTGATGAATGTTTTGTGTTAAATAATAATTATAATAAACATTTGCATATTATACAATACTTTAATAAAAATCAAAATTCATACACATATGTAAGTTGATCTCTCTAGTCAGGCTTCGGACCTTCGATGGCAGGTAGCTAGCGGTAGGGGCATATCGTAATCAGTTTCTACTTGCATACTAGATCCTATGAAATCTATTGTTATGCATTCATAAACGTTCTATAGAAAAACTTTATTCTCTTCAGTATTTCTTAAAATAGTTTTATTTATAATCTTTGGGTTTTTGGAGTACTTAAAATTTCAGGCCATCTCTCAGTATATTCGTGGCAATTGTACTAATGTGAGTCACATTAATGTGTGAATAATTTATTATGGGCAATAAAAAAGGTTCTAGAGAACTTTGGTGTTCTGATAATATTCGTAAATCGCGTACCGCCAAAAGAAAAATTATTAGTATTAGTGGCATATGATGATCACATTATTGTGAGAGGGGGGTCCAACAGAAATGGTAATAACTTCATTCAAAATTTTGTTTCGAAAATTTGGTGAGATCAAGTTAAAGCATTATATAATTACTCTGTATTATTATTAGGTTTATAAAATAAATTATATTACTGTCTGAACAATTTATTTAAAAATACTCATTTTTTCATGCATTTGACTACACTTAACCCCTTAAATAGCGAGTACAAATCTAAAGGGCATCTTAAAACAGTATTTGAAACAGATTATGAATACCGGTCTCTATACAAGTTGTATATTCATGACACATTAGCATCAACCTTGCGCTATCACGTGGCCGTCGAGCCAAGCAGACAGGGGTGGTTACTACAGCAGCGCCCTCTGCCTCTTTGTATCGAGTGATTTCTCTGCTGAAAATCCCGCACAATTTAAATTAAAAAGTAAAAAGTAGAAGCGAAATTGAGTAACTACGAAGGCGTCAAAAGACTTTGTAAAAAGCGTATTCTATCAATCTCTTTATATTGTTAACGAATCTGCAATGCCCTCTAGAAGCAAACTAGTTTTTTTTTTTTAAATTAGTCGTATATCTTCTGTATCGTTTCTCTATGTTAAAAGTAAAAGTGTGAAATCTTTGTTATGTAGTAATATCGTACTTACATATGGATAAGATATATATATATATATATATATATATATATATATACTTAAATAATCTATGGTTTTTATCTGATTAGAGTATAGTACCATATAAGAATGTTATTTGATTGCAATGACCACTGACAACTTACTGACAGTGTTCGACATAAGCTCGAGTATGACATTTATTCGGAAAGTATTATAATATTTGAAAAATTATTTTTAATCGTTAACAGATGGTGCATTTAAAAAAAAAATTTGAAAGTGAAATTATTTGTAGTTAATCTAATATCAAATAAATTCAAATTGCAATACCATGTTCGCTAGATCACTTATTGTGTTTACGAACCTTGCTATATTGTGTTTTGCTAATAACAGTGTTGATTTAGGAACTGTTATTTTCGCAAATGTTGTAAGTAAAAAACAAACATATGTATAATTACCATATATGCATTAAAAAACATTAATATATATGTATTTATTATTTTTAGATTAATCTTATCTCATTTGTATATAATTTTTATATATAATTTATTTATTTAAATAATTTGATATTAATAATACTTATATAACTATGCTTTTTAAAGCTTTATAGACATGGTGATCGGACACCTATTGAATTCTATCCAAATGATCCATATCAGAATGAATCATTGTGGCCAGTACCTTTTGGACAATTAACCAATGTAAATATAAAAACAATTAATTTATTAATTATAAATAATAAATATTTTATACATGTAAAACATTTATTTATGAGTCATATTATTTTGGTATAATTATAACATTATACTATTTCTTACATGTTTGTATAGCTTGGTAAAAATCAGCATTTACATTTGGGTCAATGGTTAAGAAATAGATATTCTCATCTTCTAAACGACGAATATCTTCCATATGACATTTATATCCGAAGTACGGATGTAGATCGTACATTAATGTCAGCTGAAGCAAATTTAGCTGGTTTGTATCCACCAAAAGGAAATCAAATATGGAATACTATCCGTTGGATGCCTATTCCAGTACATACTACACCAGAATTAGAAGATAACGTTTTATCTGGAAAAAAATACTGCCCAAAATATTTATTGGAAAGAGATAAAGTATTACAATCACCGGAGATAAAAAAAATAAACAAAGAAAATCAACATTTGTATGATTATTTAACAGAGAAAACAGGAAGAAACATTAACACTCTAAAAGATGTTGAACATTTATATGACACGTTATATATTGAAGTAATTATATTTTAATATTTTTAGCAAGTCTATTCTTTTCAATCGTTCGTATATTAACAAATTTTTTATCGCAGAATTTATATAATAAAACTTTACCTAAATGGACAAAAACTATATTCCCAGATAAATTAAAACCACTTGCTGAAAAATATTTTACAATAAGTGCGTACAATAAAATATTACAAAGATTGAAGACAGGTAAAGTATATTTTTGGATTAACCTTAACGTCAATGGAAGTTTTTATAATTAATGCAAATGTATTTTTTATTTTTTTTGTTTAACAGGTCTTTTGCTTGGAGAAATGATAGATCACATGGACAAAAAATTTAAGAATGCTTTGATTCCTGATAGAAAAGTTTGGGTTTACAGTGCTCATGATGAAACCGTGGCAAATATGTTAATGACTTTAAACTTATTTGATCCACATTGTCCTCCATATACAGCCACAATATTAATAGAATTGAGAATAAATTCTAAAAAAGAATATTTTGTCACGGTATAAATTTTGTATATAAATATATTATAATTAATTAGTACAAAGAAATCAAAGTTAAACATTTAATGTTCTAAATATTATATATAAATAATATGTAAAAGTTTTTAATTTTCTATAGATTTCATACAAAAATACTACTGAAGAACCAAATCTATTAACTCTTTCTGGTTGCGACGCTTTATGTCCATTGGATAAATTTATTGAATTAACTAAAGATACTATACCAGAAGACTGGCACAAAGAGTGTGAAGTAGAACATGAAAAGAGTGGGTATAATATCGATTTAACGGCTGTTGTCGGTAAGTAGTTCTTATATAAATATTGTATTTTTATAAAAAATTAGTTCATTAAAAATGAATTTATTCTTACCATTTCAGCAATATTAACATCGTCGATATTGATGCTAGTTAGTCTAGTTTTGTTAGTAATTGGAGTTGTTTACAGGCATTACAAACGTGCACATAACCAGTATTACCTCAGATTAACAACAGATCCTATATAAAAATAAACTAAACGATTACGGTTATATTAAGATACAAGATATTTAATATCATCAAAGTAAAAATAAGTGGCCATAGATATCTATTATTAATGTTTTGTCAAAGATGATGAATTTTTTCCTTTTTAATATGCAACTTTTGGTATATATGAAGCCAAAAAATGTTGTATTTCTTATATAGAATTTTACACAATAATATGTGTAATGAACTTTGTATCAAGCAATTTTAATTTTTTAGATTGTGTACATAAAAAAATAATGATTTCTCTTTGAACATATTTATATATATCATATGTAAACAAGAAAAGTGACAACATAATTGACCATGCTTTTAAAGATACTATATAATTTTTATACATGTTAAAGTTTATATGGATTTAATTATTAATCAAATGGAAGATTTGTATTTCTCTTTTTCATATAGATTTCTTTTCATTTATGTTACTTTTCTTGCATACAAGAAATATGTAATTAATATACCAAAAAAGAGAATATTAAAGAGAAAATGACAGGTTGTACATAATTTATGTATTATTATAAATATTGGAAGGATGACTGAAGTATGTTAAACTTCCAGTGGATATTATAACTAACAATATTAATGAGTGCTGTGTTACTTAAGCTGTTTTCGGAATTTTATTTGTTACTGATAAAATATTTAATAAACATTGTACTTTTATTAGTACTTCATATGAAATGATATAAACGAAGACTAAAATTTTCAGGGTATATAATTAAAATATCTTATTTTGAATATTGATGCATTACAAACTGCAAAGATTACAGTACATTACAATTTTTTAAAATGTGTACATATATAATAATAATTATTATTATTATATAGGTAGGATCTGGTATGGAGATAACGAAAAAAAGTTGATTATGGATTTTGTTAGTGAGTATATTGTGGAAATATCAGTATGACAAAAACGGATAAGTGTTTCTTAAAAATAAAAGAAATAATAAAATCAAAAGAAACGTCTTAAAGGCTAATAAAGTAGGAATAACGTCTTAAAAGTCCTTTCGCCTGAACGATCGGCTTACGACTAACTTTCTTATCTTTCTTTTTTTTCTTTACTTTGCGCAACGATTTTGCTGCGTTGTTCCACGCGCCAATCACATACACATACACGGGACATTCATATTCATCCTAAACAAACGAATCGCTGCACCGTACGTGCCATTGCTTATCGGCTGTGGTTCGACAAAAGGAGAATTTCATGTTTCGTCTCCACATATAGTTTCTCGTGTGTATTTATAAAATACATAATAATTTTTTATCTATATAATAAACATATTATTTAAAAGAAAAAGTTCGTTCAATATAAGCAGTCATTTTTACATACAGTATTAATTGCTTTTTCGTATTATCTAAAAATTAAATTGATTTTTAATACTATCTATACATATATATAACACATTATAAAATAATAGTCTTTTAAAAAAAGTTTATACAAAAGAGAATATATATAAATATGTAATTGAAATATCAATGTTTTATTTACTTTTGTAAGCGTATAATGCATACTGTACTGTAGAAGAAAGAAAAAGAGAATAAATTATTATATTAAAAATATGAACATTTAAGAAAATTATGCTTAAGATTAAAAGTAATTTATATAATAGTATTTATTGTTAATAATCATCAAAAATTTGATAGAGATGTAAAGCTTCCACCTAATCCTTCTTGTATTGAAAATGCCGGATTTGTCCTAAAATAAAGTATTTTTATTATTAAAGAAATATGAAATGAATAAAAGAAATATATAATTTATGTGTATTAAAAATTATTCGTACCTTTATTATTGTAAATAGAAAATAAAATCAACGTTGCAAACCCATACTTTTAGTGGTTAAAAATTTGCATGCAATAAAAATAATATTTGGTTAATTACTTTGCTTAGATACACACATTTTTGGCAAGAACAAAACACAAATAACAACACGAAAAACATCTTATATATTAAAGCTTTTATATATATATATAAGAAAAATCACGTTTATGAATGTTATTGGTTTTATACGATGTATGTTATGTGTGGTATCTATCTTTTTAAATAATAAATATGTAACGATTTGTGTGATTATAATTTCATTACACACATATACGTACCATTTACAATATTATGCTGACATCATAATAATAAAAGCATAGTTTTGGAAATGATATTCATATTTGCTGAATATGAGATACATGTCAATTATAAAATCGTTGCATTGTATACAGTTGATTACACTTGTATAACTAGGTACTTAATGATGTTTCCGATGTATTGAAGAAACTGAGATTAAAAACAAAAATGTCAAATTTTTCAACATTTTTCTTAGTTACTTTAGTATAATGATATGTTAGTATAAATGTATAATATGCACATTGGAAGGGATTTTAATGAACAATGTGCAAAACGTATAAATAATAGGATTAATAAACATATAGGGAATCGTATTAAATAAGTGTTTATTTACATTAGATTAGTATTAATTTCATAAATAATCTTTTCAGGAAATATTTAACGCCATTAAAAAAATAGATTTTGTATTAAATAAATAAGCATTTTTTACGAGTTAAAATAGTGACAATAATTAATATAAATCTCATTTCTTTTTAAAATATTAGTAGCACATAACCTTCACCTTTCTATAAGTTTACAATTACATAAAATTAAATTTGCTTTATTACAAGGCACATTGAAATAAAATTTGATATTCTTCTATTATTATAACAATTTTATAGATACTAATAATTGCATTATTCAATATTGTAAATTTTCCTTGAATTTTAAATGTTAGATGTTAATATTTGTTAACTGCAAAAAAGCTTTTACATACATTTGTATATCAAATGTAATAAAATTGTATTACATAGACACAAAAATTATAATTACATTTAAAAAGCATATATACAATTTGATTATATATAAAAAGGATGACTTAATTATTAAAATAAATTATTATTTTCGCATCATTTTAAAATATTATAATTTTTTATGCCTTACCTTGCATATATTGCAGGATTGGTTAGGCCAAAGTTATTATCAACGGGCCCACTAATGTATTTCCTAACAAACTAAAATGTAATTATATTAAAAAAAAACAATATAATATTTAAATAATAATCAAAGATCTATATATGCGGTATAATATGATACACATACCGAATAATTACTGAGGATTTTTGCTCCCATATTTACTGCCATATGAATTATTAAATATATACAGAATATTAGGTATAAAAACGCTAATATAGCAATACCAAACCATATTGCCCAGTGATGAGGAACTTCTTCTTGTACAGTATTTATTACAAAATAAATATTTATTATTATCACTACTGCAGATAAAGCAGTAGCAACAATTTTATTTCCTCTGTAATAAAAGAAAAACTTTATGTAATGTATATATGTACATATTACAAATATTAATATTATATTTAATTAATAAAAAAACATACATTCCATTTGTAAATTCTCCCATTATTTGTGGATTACTAGTAAAGGCTATTGTTGGTAAGGTAGCAAAGGGTAATTGCAGACTCATAACAGCATTTAAAATATCATTCATGCCAGTCATGTGTTCTATATCGGCATAAAATGCTACTAAGAATGTAGGGACAATAGCAATTGTCCGAGTAAAAAGTACTCGCTTCCATCGAGCCCATTTTAAATTTAAGAAACCTTCCATTGCAAACTGGCCTGCATAAGTTCCAGTCATTGTAGAAGATTGACCAGCAGCTAAGATACCAACAGCCCAAATATACATTGCTGCCATACCGAATGAACAACCAAGATATATACCACCCTTGTATAAATCTGCTTCAAATGTGTTATTGTCTCTCTAGAAAGAAGAAAATTCCATGTTATTGTATCAAAAGAAATATTTATATCAATATATAATTATTATAATTTTACTTACAGGAAATAAATTATCATCTATTTGAATATCACTTGTTTTACAAGTATCATACTAAAATTAAGCAATAAAACCATTAATTAAATTCTACGTTAAGAATTTCAATAAGACCAAGTAAATAACAATTGTAATAAAAAACTTACAACATTTTGATTGGTTTTATCGAAGAGACCGTGTGCAAAAACAGAAACCACAAATACATTAATAACGAATGAAACAAGAAGTGCGATACTTGCTTCAATAAAATAATACATATTCGCATCTCTAACTTTGGCAGGTTGTCTTCGGTCTACATCTCTTGACTAAAAAATTCATGGGACATACATAATTAATTAGTAATATTAGAATTTTAAGAAAATATATCCATTAATTGAGTCAAGATATCTACTTTCTTCGATAATTTTTAAGATATCGTGGAAACTGTTTTTTTCTTACTTTCACAAGAGCACTATGGAGATATAAATTATGTGGCATTATAACGGCACCAACGATTCCTACAGCCTGAAGTAATGTTTTACTGTCATATTGCATAAGCCATGGTATAAACATTCCTTCTACAACTTGATCTTGAGGTGGTTTTGAAATAACATACTGAAAATATGAAAAACATTAGGTTAATAAATAAATATATAAATAAAAGAAGATAATACGTTTATTTCATTCAAAATATATTGTCAATTTCTTTTACCTCATAACCGAAAGTAACTCCCATAATAGTAATTAATAATCCAAAGAAAAATTCCAATTTTCGTAAGCCATATTTGTCCAAAAATAAAAATGTAAATGTGTCAATTATTGTGATAAGTACACCACCCCATAGAGGAAGTCTAAAATACATAATATACAATTATAATAATAAATTTTTCATTTTTATACGATATTGTACACAATATATTACAATATTTATATATAGAGATTTTAAAATACAATTTTCTAATAATAATAACAACTTACTTTCCGTATGATAATAAATATAAGGCAATAGCTGTTCCTATTACTTCTTGCATGTCACTACCTATAATAGCTATTTCTATCATTATCCATAAAATAAGCCGAGGTATTGTTTTATATTGTCTATAACACATTTCTGCTAAATGTAATCCAGTAACCACGCCTAAACGTGCGCTGAGTCTTTGCATAACGAGTCCCAATATCGTAGAACTTAATAGAACCCATAATAACTATAAAATACATATTAAATATCAATAGTACATAAATAATTTTAACACATTGTATTAAAACATTGATAAATATCAAAATTATATATACCTTATAGTTGGCAGTTGTACCAGACTGCAAATCAGATTCTATATTACCAGGATCTAAATATGCGATTGACATTAAAAATCCAGGCCCTGTAAAGGCCCATAATTTCCTGAAGCTAAAACCAGTCTGTAAAAAAGAACATCTTTAATATATATTCATTATACTTCATTAAGTATATAAGCCAAAATAACAGATACTTTAACAAAAAATAAATAAATAAATAAATATATATACATACTCCTTCTATTTCAGGTATTGGTATTATTTCATTAGCGAAGTAGGTCTGATTTGTAGTCGGTGACAAAGATGTGTTTTCCGTGACTTTAGCATTATTTTTGACTTTTTCCATACGTTGATGAGATACATTAGTCGTCTCTTCATTATGCATATCATGTCTATTTTGCATGGTATATTTTTCAGGAGTATCTACAATTTCGTTTAATGACTTTTTAACACACATAGAATTGCGATCACAAAACAATAGCGTACAATTACTAAAAGAAAAAATTCTTTTCTGAGAAAATAATTTTATATCATATGTAGATATATATAAACGTAGAAATACTAACGATTGTTCTTTTTGATTATCTAATGCAATTATGACGAACGTAAACGAACGAAATTCGACAAAGAAATCAATCACTTGTAATTATTTTATTGTTTGTCAAAAAATAATTTGTATTCATAAAGAACAATAATATCTTGTTAAACTCGATAAAAAAAAAGCAAGATATAAAAGTCACATAATTTCGATTAAATAATCATATACATTAAAATAATGGAAAATAAAAAGAAAAACTAAAGTGAAAAATATTGAAAGGAAAGTAAATACAAAAAAATATGTAACCAAAGAAAAAGCGAGCTCCACAACCGAACTCGACGAAGTTCTGATTAAAACTAACCCCTGATCATCAGTATTCGAAACTGCGTATTTTATGCGCGCGCTCTTTCAAAGAGAGATAAAAATTGCATAGGCAATTTCATCCTTCAGAATGTATTCTGAAATCACTGTTTCGAAATAAATATTTTCTAAACAATAATAAAACTTTAAACAAGATTTATAATTATTTAAGATTTACTGTGCTATTTTTCTATTGTTAAAAAACATTTGATTACGTTATATCACAATCTCATATTTAAAAATATGATATTTTAATCCTGATGATAAATATATTCTCTATAAAAAGAAATTTGAAAAAATTTTTTTCAATTGTTTGCGTTATCAAACTGATTTATATATTATGTAATTTCACTGTCATTGTTAATTCATTTCATTAAAGCGATATATTAAATATTGGACAATTAGAAAAAGCAGTTGAGAGCCACTGTTGGGAATAACACTACGAAATTAACTACGCGGCGAGTTTCCTAAAACGATATGGTGGGGCTGTCCAATTTGCGTGAATGATCTGACTAATGCTATTTATTAAAAATTATTATCGTAATATGATCATGGAATAACCCAGAAGAAATGTATGTTGATTTATATAGTGCATGCTTATTGATAAATGAAATTCAAATGTCGTTTATATAATTTAATCTACTTACCCAGTTTTATTTGGAAGCAACTGGAATAACAAGAATTCCAAAAAAACTTCGACAGAAATTATACGATAGAGAATTAGAAATGATTTTTGTGTAATTTGACGATTATACTATAAACGCAAGTAGGCTAAAGTAATATGTATATATATATGTGTGTGTGTAGACATATTAGATTGTTAACGGATAGAGTAAAAAACAAACGCGAAAGATCCTTATTGAATTTCTATAATCCTAGAAAAAAAAGAATAAACCATATTACTTACTGTTCATCCTTGGTAATTCAAGAAACTATTGATTATGGTCGAGATTAATTAAAAGAAATAGTAGAATTAAATGTAAAAGAAACTACCGAATTACGAGTATATATATATTTTTTTTTTTCCTTTTATTTTTATTTATCTTTTAACACAAACGCATTAGCTATGAATTCTTAACAAATCTACACGTTAAATCAATATGAGAAGTAACGTGAAAATAAGCTTATTCGAAGCTCGTTTTCTTACAAGACACAAAGTATACATAACGAGATAATAGTATATGAGACACATGTCCGGGATTCCCGACAGTCAATGATTTCTTTCCTCCTACGCTTTGTATTTTACAGCATCATATACGCACGTTTTTATGCGTCATTAAAATTACGAAAGAAATTTGAAAGTTTCTAGTCATAAAAAAACCATTTTGAAATAAAATATTATTCATTATTACAGTATCTATGAGTTCTTGAAATCATTCATAATTTGTTAATCAATAATACAATGGATTATACAATGTTTGTTTAGATAAATATACTTATGTATAAATGATATGCTAAAGAGTATTATAAGATAAGTTTTATATGTATATATATTAGTTTATATATCATAATTGTTTAATTATTTAAGTGGTTTTTGTAGCTATTACTCATAACAAAGGAACAAAGAAAAAATAAGATATACTTATCAGTCAATACCTTTATCGTCATAGATATATACACGATGTTATAAGATTTTGTATCTCTGTTTCTTACGTTTGACGTCGTGATCTATTTAGTTGATAAGAATATCAATAATCACCATTGATTATTACATTAATATTTTCTTATAGTACAATTTCATATTAATTCGATAAAGCTTAAGAATCATAAAAATAATCTATGACTATGATAAGATTTATGAATATGAGAGAGCATTTTGAAAATAACTACGCGAAATTATCTTTGATAAAATATCTACTAAAAATATCATAAAATATTTTACAATTCCCTTATGTAATAGTATTACATAAATTGTTTCACGTGATGCAAATTTCATGTTTTTAATACTTTTTTTTAGTAATTCTATATCTCTTTATAATTATTGTATAATAAAGAGAAAATTTGTATAAATACAAAATTTCGCTTGTTGGATATGAAAAAAGATATAAAGCACATATCTTTCCCTTGATAATATATCGCTATTTGATATTACTTATTAGACTTATTTCTCTGAAATAATCTTAAATGAATCTTCTTTCGAAGATGATAAAAAAAATATTGTGATATACTTGTACTGTTTATTATTTCAATTTATTAATTTTATATCTAATCTGATTCTAAAACGTGCTTCGTGCGGCATAGACAACGTGGATAACAATAAAAAAAAATTTATCTTAAGCATTTACGTGATTGATTATTGTTACCACTTGATCATCACAAAGGATAAAAAAGTTATTATTTCGTACGATCGTGGTATCATTGTGAGCGTCTTTGTATACGACCTAAAAATAGGATCTCAATTCTTTCTATGATTATAATGAATTATTTTCTCAAATTTCCAGTGACCTTTTACATTTTTATACATTACTAATATATTAAAATAATAAATAAATATCATTTCACGAATGTCTAAAATCTTTGTGTTAAGAATAATCAAACATATATTAAATTTGACCACGCTTTATAGAACAACGCGAACATCATAATAGTATAATATAATAAGGTATAGAAAATACATTGATAATTTAATTATAGCGTATTTGACTTATGGCTTTGATAATAACATTATTGCATTTCTGTCGTTTGATAATGAGATTAATTTATTGCTACCTTTATTTTACATACATTAAATTTTAAAATCTGTGATTTTCAATTTCATTTACGAACTGGAAATTTTACGGTGTTTTAAACATTTGGAAATAATAAATCTATTTTAATCGATAATCCAAAATACGTATATAAATTTACTGTTACTGATGATCTGAAAATCATTAATATACTATTACCAAAGAATACATAAGTACATAGAAGCTCACTAGTCCCCTTATTTATCTAGCCAAATTCATCTTAATTACTACCGGGACCACCAGTAGACGATCGTAGGTACTTAACGTGATGACGGTACAAATACACATACAATACACATACTGTATTCTTTGATAGTATATGATAGTATATAATATATTCTTTGATAGTATGTATAGTATAGTTACATTATAATAGAATTTGAAATAATTATATTTAATTTTTAGTGGATAAACATGTGTGTGCTTTCAGAAATGCATTTACAGAAATGCAAATAGAAGAAAATCTCAAAAGTTCGTTGTTAAATCTAACGATTTAAAATACTCGTGTACGTGTGAGAAATCTGAATTCATAAAATGCAGTGAATGTCGAAAAAATTTATGTTTCGTATGTCTGTACGACGAATATCTTCATTTTTATGTAATTATTTYAACACTCCTGCYCAGTGATGACTTCGAAGGTAAAATTTTCCTGTAATATMAGYAAAGTGCATTAKWGCATTAAAATAATTGTTAAATAATCGATRCAAGTGTCTATTGTTGTTTAAAAGCTCRGAATATATGATCTRTGTACCGTCCCCTTCGAAATAYACCGTTGAAATGRATCATTGTCYTCTGTGAAAATACTTTTATTGAAAGTTGTTTATATRACTTTCCGAACGTTGYAAATGTGTAAAAAAGGAATAATTCATCTAATYAATTAAATTTATGATTACAACGATCTGATTTTAGCATTTCTTCGTTTTTATRTAATTGTTTWAACWAAWRTAYATYTGTTTYWACGTTCCTGYGYAGTGRTGAMTTCGRRGGKRRAAWA